ATTTATTGTGGATATAAATGGTTTTAATACTTTTTTCTTTTAACCTCCTACTAGCTTTATAAGTGGTTGATCTACTATCTTTACTGTATATTTGCCTTTACCAGTGAGATTTTTCTTTTTATAATTTTTATATTTCTAGCTGTGGCCTTTTCTCTTCTGCTTAGAGAAGTCCCTTTAACATTTCTTATAAAGCCAGTTTAGTGGTGCTGAACTCTTTTAGTTTTACTTGTCTATAAAACTCATTATCTTTCCTTCACATCTGAATAATATCCTTGCCAAGTACAGTATTCTTGGCTGTAGGTTTTTTCCTTTCATCACTTTAAATATACCATGCTACTTCCTTCTGGCCAGCAAAGTTTCTGCTGAAAGTCAGCTGATAGCCTTATCAGAGTTGCTTTATATGTAACTAGTTGCTTTTCCCCTGCTGCTTCTAAGATTCTCTCTTTATTTTGCCATTTTACTTACAGTGTGTCTTGGTGTGGACCTCTTTGAGTTCATCTTGTTTGGGACTCTGTATGCTTCTTAGACCTGGATGTCTGTTTCCTTTCCCAGGTTAGGGAATTTTTCAGCTACTATTTCTTCAAATAAGTTCTCTTCCCCTTTCTTCTTATCTTTTCCTTCTGGGACCTTTAATATGCAAATGTTAATATGCTTGATGTTGTCCCAGAGGTCTCTTAAACTATCCTAATTAAAAAATTCTTTTTCTTCTTTTTTGTTCTGTTCAGCTTGGGTTATTCCCACTACTCTTACTTCCAGTTTGCTGATCCATTCCTCTGTATAATCTAATCTACTGTTGATTTCTTCTAGTGTATTTTTTATTGCAGTTACTGTGTTCCTCAGCTCTGTTTGGTTCTTCTTTATATTTTCTAACTCTTTGTTAAAATTCTCACTGTGTTCACTCATTCTTCTCCAGATTATTATTATTATTATTTTTAATATTTATTTATTTGGCTGTGCCAGGTCTTAGTTACAGCATGTGGGATCTTTGTTGACAAATGGGGGATCTTTAGTTGCAGCACGTGGGATCTTTTAGTTGTGGCATGCAGACTCTTAGTTGCGGCATGCAGGATCTAGTTCCCCAACCAGGGATTGAACCCGGGTCCCCTGCACTGGGAATGAAGAGTCTTAACCGCTGGACCACCAGGGAAGTCCTCCAGAGTTTGTTGATCATCTTTATGATCATTACCTTGAAATCTTTATTGGGATTGCTTATTTCCACTTTGCTTATTTATTCTTCTAGGTTGTTTGTTTTTTTTTAAATAAATTTATTTATTTATTTTTAGCTGTGTTGGGTCTTTGTTTCTGTGCGAGGGCTTTCTCTAGTTGCGGAGAGCAGGGGCCACTCTTCATTGCAGTGTGCAGGGCCTCTCATTATAGTGGCCTCTCTTGTTGCACAGCACAGGCTCCAGACGCACAGGCTCAGTAGTTGTGGCTCACGGGCCTATTCCATTGTATATATGTACCACATCTTCTTTATCCATTCCTTTGTTGATGTACATTTAAGTTGCTTCCATGCCCTGGCTATTGTTGAATATTGTAACTAGTGCTGCAATGAACATCAGGTGCATGTATCTTTTTGAATTATGGTTTTCTCAGGGTATATGCCCAGGAGTGGGATTGCTGGGTCGTATGGTAGTTCTATTTTTAGTTTCTTAAGGAACCTCCATACTGTTCTCCATAGTGGCTGTATCAATTTACATTCCCACCAACAGTATAGGAGGGTTCCCTTTTCTCCACACCCTCTCCAGCATTTATTGTTTATAGATTTTTTTTTTTTTTTTTGGCAGTACGTGGGCCTCTCACTGTTGCGGCCTCTTCCGTTGCAGAGCACAGGCTCCGGACACACAGGCCCAGCGGCCATGGCTCACGGGCCCAGCCACTCCGCGGCATGTGGGATCTTCCCGGACCGGAGCACGAACCCGTGTCCCCTGCATCGGCAGGCAGACTCTCAACCACTGCGCCACCAGGGAAGCCCAATGCTGAAGTTTTATTTGACCACCCAGAAAGTGTGATTTGGGGCTACAAACCTAGTTTTGAGATTGTAACTTCTCAGGAAAGATACTATCTTGCCTCTCCACTCAGAAATAAAACCGAAACCAAAAAGGTTCGCTTGTAGTCCCTGGCGAGGGTGTGTAGTAGGCTGAATAATGACCCTCAAAAGTACCAGGTCCTAGTCTCTGGCATCTGTGAATGTGACCTTATTTGGGAAAAGGGTCTTTGCAGATGCGATTAAATTAAGGATCTTGAGTTGGGTAAGTGATCCCGGATAATTATCCGTGGGGGCCTTAAATGCAATCACAAGTGTCTCTATCAGAGAGAGGCAGAGGGAGACACACATACAGAGGAAGAGCAGGTGATATGATTATGGGGCAGAGATTGGAGTGATGCTGCCGCAAGCCAAGGAATGCCGGCATTTGGATGAGGCAGGAACAGGTTGTCCCCTAGAAACTCTGAAGACTTTTTCGACACATTAAATTCAGCCTAGTGATACTGATTTTGGACTTCTGAAGTCCAGAACTGTGAGAGAATAAGTTTCTGTTGCTTTAAGTCACAAATTTTGTGACACGTTATTATGGCAGCCACAGGAAACTGATATAAGGGTGGGATGGGATTCACTTATTCCTGGTTCACCTTCTACAGGGTAGCGGACGCTAGTTGGGATTTCAGATTTATGGGGAGGCCTCCTTTATGCCCCACCTTGAGTGAGCCCAGAGCTTTGTCTTCCGTCCCCTGAGTCCTTGTGAGGGGCTGACATCTACAGGGTTTGTCAAATGCCCTCAAGGTGAAAGGTGGTACTTGACAAACTTCTCTAGGTTTCGGCCTCTGAATATTCCTTCCTTCCTTGCTAGGAAACATCTGAAGTGTTGTTTTTTTAAACATAACATCCAGCATTTTAGTTGACTTCATCTGAGGGTCAGGGAAATTGCCATCCTGCGGGACAGGGAAGTCTAGATGTAGTTCCCTAAGATTGCTGACATCGTGGGGGCCAAATGGTAGACATGTCTCCTTCTTATTCATCGTGCAGAGACATGAGCAGATTTCACCATTAAAGAGGTGATCAAGAGACACACGGAGTCATGAGGAGGATGGAATACGAGGGAGACCTCAGCAAACATCCATCAGTGGTGGGAATTGGGGATGTATGCCGCGGGAGTGGGGGAGGCACTCAGACAGTGGACAGTGCATCTCTCAGTGTGGCTAGAGACCCTGGTGGCTGAGATGCCTCTGATTCCACTCCCACAACACAAAATATGGGGCGGGCCAGGGCAGCACCTCGGGTCAGCTCCCGGCCCTGGAGGGCCTGTGCCTTTCCTCGCCCCCGTCTTAGCCGCACCGTGTCTCCCACTCTTGGTAGGAGGTTGTTACACCTGCAGTCTCCAGCTAGTCACTCTCAGGCTTCAGCTGGTCCCCAGAAGGCCTCCAGGATCTCCCAGCCCTGGGGGACAGGTGTTGCTGAAAATCCCTCTGCTGGGGAATCATGCAAAGATGTGATGGCTCACTCCTGTCTTACTCCTGTGCCCGCCTGGGTGGGCTTTTAGGACTGGGAGATCCACATCCACTCTGTTTTGCTTTTGGAGGCCTGCTCGGGGTTTTAGTTGCAACCACTGGAAACTGACTCTGGCTGATAGAAGCAGGAAGCGAGTGTCTCAACCTGATCTTGAGGAGCTCACAGAATCTCAGGAAGGGTTGGAGGAACAGCCTCGGGAGGACGCAGGCAGGAACAATGTCCAAATCAGACCTAGTCTGCTGCTGATGCTAGCTCCCCCTGGCTACTGGATGCTTCTACCAGAACCCCTGCCTCTACTGCTGCCCTGCACCCACCTCCCCATCTTCCAACTGAAAGCTGGGCTGGAGCCCCGGTTGTGTGCCTATAGTCCAGCAGCAAGGGGGCTGGAAAAGAGCAGGTGGCAGTTTGAGCCCTTAAAAAGGGCTGGAGGGGCTTCCCTGGTGGCACAGTGGTTGGGAGTCCGCCTGCCGATGCAGGGGACGCGGGTTCGTGTCCCGGTCTGGGAGGATCCCACATGCCACGGAGCGGCTGGGCCCGTGAGCCATGGCCGCTGAGCCTGCGCGTCCGGAGCCTGTGCTCTGCAACGGGAGAGGCCGCAGCAGTGAGAGGCCCGTGTACCGCAAAAAGAAGAAAAAAAAAAAAAAGGCTGGAAATGAGCAGGTGGCATTTTGAGTCCCTTCACACTTGCCAAGATGGAGATTCCTCAAACATATGAAGAGGGGTTTAGGCAGGGACTGGATGAATAATGGGGTATCTCCTTTCCTTCTCTCCCAAGTCAGATGCATCTACATGTGTACAACTTGACAGCCCTCCTGTCACACCTCCTTCAGGGAGGAAGAGCTGAACTGGGGAAGAGAATTAATTTCTCCCTTGTCATAAGACTAGCCCCAGATTAGAATCAGGGGCACTAAGAACCCAAAACATGGTGATCTCTCCCTCACATTATTGAAAGAAATTTAAAAATACTGAACGGGTCAACAAACTTCTGACCATTTTCCCCATGTTGTCTCTTTATAAAAATGTCAAATTATTTCAAATAGTGGTTTTTCTATTCTGGGGACTTTTGATGGATCTGCTTTATTTGTCTGCTAGGACATTTGTTGCTGACCGAGGTTTGTGAAGTCAGTCACACCCATGAGATTATGTAGCTGGTAAGGCCAGCTACCGTTTATTGAGTGACTACTATGTGCTGGCACTGGGGTGGGCATTTTTCACCAAGTGTCACTAATTCTTACATCCCCAGGTACAGATGAGGAAACTGAGAGGTTACAGGCTAATAAGTGTCCGAGGTAGAATTCAAAGCCCAGGGCCTTCTATTCTCTGAAGCTTCCCAGATGCCGTCGGGCCCCTGCGCCTGGCACAGTCCCTGGCTGACAGCAGGCAGGGACTGAGGAACATCCGCTGAATCAATGAACATTAAAGATGGCACACGAGAGCCTGGTTGAATCTGACAATCACACAGATGTAGTGTCATTAAACGAACGCACACGGATTAAACGGAGAATAAGACTTTAATTGAGCACCAGCATTATATACATAAAATGTGTCCGCATAGAAAAATAAATCCAGTCAAAGTGTCCCTGAGAATCCACAAAGTCTGTGCTCTGTACATGTACAGCGTTTGCTGACGGTTACTTTTGAGTCGAGGCCATTTTTCACATCAGTCTATCGGCACTCTGGTCAGGTTTTACAGCATCTTGGTTTTTATTCCTCATTTTAAATATTTCTGTTTCTCACCATTTAAAACTTGTTTTTCGTTTTGTTTGTTGGGCCGTGTGGCTTGTGGGATCTTAGTTCCCCGACCAGGGATTGAACCCAGGCCCCAGCAGTGAGAGTACCGAATCCTAACTACTGGACCGCCAGGGAATTCCCTGGAACTTTTTTATATTGAGTGAGCACATGAGGCTGAAAATCACACCTTCAGTGGCTATTTTTTCAAATCATTAAGGCCTTTATAAGGTGGCTAGTTCCCAAGATGGAGTATTTGTGCCAAGTGAGCCTTTAAAATCCAGCTCCTTGTTGGTGTGGACATTGTCCCAGCATCTGAGGTTCTCAATCTGGGGGTTACTCAGCTGGTCTCAGCCCTTGTTTGTCGGTTGCTCTGATCACCCTCAGAGGCAGGCGTGAGAAGGAGGGGGTCGCTGTGCCCGGCTGAGTGTGTTTCTTCCTTGGAGGCCAGCTCAGAGGGCCCCTGCTCAGACAAGGTCCTAAGGCTGCAGCCCGCCCCAAGGTTCGGCTTGTGGCTTTCACACGCTTCTGTGATGACGCTCAGTTTGTCAAAAACTTCATTCTCATCAGACAGTGGGAAGGAGAATAAGAGAAGTGTGCTGTGATGAGGGTGGTTCAGAAACTGCAGGAGAAAAAAAAGAGTTACTTATCAAATTTCCCCACTTCTTTTTCTGGGCTCACAGTTCTATACAGAACTCCTGGCTGGAAAACGCTGTTTTAAAAAAATGTGACAATAACAGTATGACACTTCCTCAAAAAACTAAAAATAGAATTACCATATGATCCAGCAATTCCACTTCTGGGTATACACCCAGAAGAAGTGAAAGCAGGGCCTCAGCTCTCTCTCTCTCTCTCTCTCTCTCTCTATATATATATATATATACATATATATACCCATCTTCAGAGCAACATTATTCACAATAGACAAAGATGGAAGCGGTCCAAGGGCCCATCCATGGAGGACTGGATAAACAGAACGTGGTCTAGCCATACAACAGAATATTTTCTGCCTCAAAATGTAATGAAGCTGATACATGTACAACATGGGTGAACCTTACGCTAAGTGAAATATGCCAGACAGAAAAGGACAAATGGTGCATGATTCCACTTACACGCGGTACCTAGACGAGGCAAATTCACAGACAGAAAGTGATGGTGGTGGCCGGGGCCAGGGGGAGAAGGGAGATGGAGAGGTTTGTTTATCGGATAGTTTCTGCCTTGCAAGATGAAGGGAGTCCTGTGACTGGAAGGTGGTGATGGTTGCACAACAATGTTAGTGTACTTAATACCACTGAACTGGACGCTTAGAAGTGGGTAAGGTGGTAAATTTTATGTTATGTGTATTTTACCACAATTTAAAAAATGCGACAATAAACCTGCATCTCATTTGCTAAGTGATCACAGGTCCCCCTCTGAGAGTTCCTCTTGTAAACCCAGAGGGAGACTTTCAGGATGATCCCAAAGCTGTGGGGCTGATGCCGCCTGGGCGTCCTTGCCTCTAGGAAGCAGGGATGCTGTAAGCACGGGGTAGATGTGTCTTGGAATAACAGCTAGTCTCCTGTGCGTCCTCAGGCTGAGTTAGGGGCCCTCTTTGGGGTCCCTCTGTTTCAGCCAGCTCTGCGGCATGCAGTGTGGCAGCCACCAGCCACTTGAAACCTGGCTGGTCTGGATCTACGTGTGCTGGAGGTGTAAAACACATACCTGATTTTGAAGACTTCGTGTGAAAAAGAGAATGTAAATATTTCAACAATTGAGAAAAGTAATTGAGTGCATGCTGAAATGATATTTGGGATATATTGGGTTGCATAAAATGTATTATTAATATTAATTTCCTCTGTTCCTTTTTACTTTAAAAATAACTGTGGCTACTAGCAAATTTTAAATCTATGTGCTTTGTTTCCATCTAGCCCGTTTTACGAACGATGACTCATGGTGTGTCCCTCCCAGCAGACGGGCTAGTTACAGACAGGAACCAGAGTCTAATCATCCTTGTCACTCCAACACTTCAACCATGAAGATGCCTATGTACGTTTCCTGAAATATCTGCTGAGGGCACATTCTCCACTTTTCATCCTTGTAGGTTCACCGAGGCTCTTAAATCTTCAGGACGAGGTGCAGAAACATTCCTTAAAGCGTGGCATTCATCTTTAACTTCTTCCCCTCAGTTGGTTCCACCTTTAAGGGATCAGTTAAGCCTTCTGAAAGTAATTTCCATACCTCAGCCCTCTGAGATGACTTAACCTAAATTCTACCCTCCCCCACCCCCACCAGCCAACCAAAGGGAAAGGCAGGGGTCAGGAATTTCGCCCAGATCCGTTGTGCAAAGGCGGCAGCTGCGGAGAGGAGGGACCTCCCCAAATGCTCGGATCCAGTGGAGCCACAGGAACAGACTGGAAGCTACCCTTGACTCTCCTGGGAGACAGGAGAGGAGAGAACAAAGCAAGATGCGCTAAATGTCAAGAAAGCGAAGAGCAGGCTGGTGGCAGGCTCAGAGTATCCGTGGTGGGTACCTCCCTATGGTTTTTTCAGCTAAAAGTCTCCATCCCCAGCAAATCTCCCTCAACTCAAAATTAGCCTCTGGGCCAGGGTTAATGAATTCTCTGCATTTTGAGTCAAACTGGAGAATTTCATGATCTGAGGACCCTGATCTGCTCATGGGTTCCTGGCACTTCCTTCGCCCTCACTCCGCTGGCCCCTCTCCAGCCTCCCCCGCCCACCCATATTTCTCACTGGCCCACAGTCAAGCCTGCCAAGTCTTCTAGCCTGGGAGGCCAGAGCTCCTGCCAACTGACCCCTTAATTAAACTCGCCTCTGGCTTTGGTTTGCCTGGTCCCACACTGTCCCATCTGTCCTTTCCTGTCTGATGAGCCCCTCTGATGGTGAAGCCAGAAGCAAAAAGCAGGTACACAGTTTGGCTTCCTCTCGGCTCCCCACTTACAGAACACCTCCTACGCTGAGCGAAGGGCCCGCCCATGTGTTCTTCCTCCTGCGAACAGGCTTCTCAGAAGTGCACCTCTAGAAGATGCACGTCTCATCCTGCTGCTGCAGTCTCGCTGGCACTCTCGTTAGAAGGTTCTGGCCGCTTTGAGTCTCTTGCCTACAGTCACGCGGTCCACGTTCTATCCATGTCAGGAGCTGTGCTGCCCACACTTGTTCACTGGAGCTGAAACAGCTCCCAGCCAAGTCCCTGTCCAGGAACTGCCCTCCGCAGAAGGGAGCTGCCTTGTACGAGTCCTTCCCAGGGGCAGCCCGGACAATGGACTGGCTGGTGTGGGAACAAAGGCCCGATGTCAGTTACCACGACAACACATTAACAGGCCCAGGAAAGCAAGAAGTGGCAAGGCCTCCCTAAGAGACGCACTTCAGAGGGTGGGGGAGTCACCCTGTGAAGAGTCAGGGACCTGTCACATCAGTTTTAGGGATCCCACGGAATAGGGAATGCCAGGACATCCTCTCCAAAGGAAGGACCGTTATTGTGTCTTACCCGCCACCCCTACCAGGGAAGCACGATGCGAGGTGGGCCTCTGGGTTCTGGCGGGGGGGGCAGCACATTCCACACCAGGAATATGGCTCCTGGTGTGAGTGATACAGAAGGCTGCCGGCTCTGAGGGGGGCCTGGAACAGGAAAGCGCCCCAAAGAGGGTACGGGCTTTGGAGCAAGCCGTCCTAGCCACACCTCACGCCGGCTGATGCTGGGGTACGGAGGCCCAGCCTCACCTCCCAGTGACATCTCAGCTGAACCCAGTGAACATGAAGAGGCCGTGAGACCCGGCAGATCCTTGGAGGGTCTGCGGTGGGAAAAGAGGCTGAGTGGAGTTTATGGCAAATCCCAAGAGGAGCGTCACTGTGTGACCACTACAGTTCTGAGGCCAGGCTGGCAACCTGCAGCCGAGAATTATACCCTGTTTGAAAACAGCTCTGGGAGTATTGGCCATGGGGACTTGGGAGAGACAGAGCCTTGGGCCACAGGACACCAGGTGACCGTGCCACCTAGAAGTGACCCTCACGAGGCCTGTCAGACCCACCAGGTCCTGAGGTGGGGTCAGAGGGCACACGTGCAGGCGGCCCGGCCTCCCCTGCACCTACCCCTTCTGCACCAGCACATCTGCCTCTGTTCACACCATGACCGCGCCGGGGGACGGGTCCTCACGACCAGGAGAAGTGGGAAGAGGCCCAACGTGGCTCACAGGGAGGTCAGCATGGCACATGGGCACAAACCAAAGATGGCCCACAGCTGCACTGGAGCCCCAACTGGGGGCCCTGAATGGCAGTGGGGGGGAAGCTCCCAACAGGCAGAGCTCCGGGCCGTGCATCTGGTCATCCCCTTTGTGTGGAAAGAAAAGTGGTCCAAGATCAGGTACTCATGGAATCTGAGGCAGGGGCCGATGGCGAGGCTGGTGGTCAGGGGCCAGAGGAAGGGAGACTGGAAGGCCAGCACAAGGGAGTCCGGAAAGAGGCGCGTGGATGGACTGTGGGAGCAGCTCCAGGTGGGGAGGTCTCTGGACCACATATGAATTCCGAGACCCAGAGCCGGGCCCTCTGCCAGTGGAGCTCTGTCAGGCCTCAGCAGTGCCGGCCACGGCCCTGCAGGATAGGGACAGCCGATCATTCCCGAAACAGGTGTCAACTCCAGTCAGAGTGCACTGGTGCCCCTTCCAGAGTCCATGCCTCAGAATGTGACTTTATTTGGAGATAGGTCCTTACAGAGGTAATCAAGTTAAAGGAGCTCATTAGGGTGGGCCCTGATCTGACCTGAGGAGATTTGGACACAGATGGGAGAACGCCATGTGAAGATGAAGGTGAGATGGGGGGATGCTTCTACAAACTAAGGAACCAAAGGTTGCCAGCAACCACCAGCAGCCTGGGGAACGACCGGGAACGGCTTTTCCCTCACAGCCCTTGAAAGGAACTGACCCTGCTGACACCTGCATCTTGGGCTTCCAGCTTCCAGGACCTTGAGACAATACGTGTCTGTGGTTTCAGCCGCCTAGCGTGTGGTAATTCTGTTATGGTGGCCCGTGCTGACTAACACAGACCTCACATTACATCATGTCAGGCCATGGGACCCCATGACAGCAGAGGAGGCCAGGAGTGCAATACCCTGATGGTATCGTATGCGGGGCCACCCACCCAGCATCTGCCAGCCTGGAAGGACGACAGCTGGCCCGCTGAAGGTACGGGGGTAGGGGGGGATTGGGGAGTGGTGCCAGCTTGGAGACGGTGCCCTGTGAGGACCAGCCATCGTCCTCCAGCACCGGGCATGCATTGAGAGTCAATGACAGTATGTGATAGTGTGTCCCCAAGAAGTAGAGTACAGGGGCTCAGAGACCAAGGGGTAGAAGTAGGAGTGGCCCTGCCTGCCATCACTCCCGCTGACCCACTTGGGGAACTGGTATCCACGCAATCTTAGGCTCTGTGAGCTCAGAGCAGGGGTCAGCAAGCTATGGCCCAGGGGCTGAAACCATGTTTCTTTGTATGGCTCAGGAGTTAAGCACGGTTTTAGAGTTGTAAGTGATGCCATTTAAGTGGTTACATAAGTATCTACATAATATCTCAATCTTGGTCTCAAAGCCTAAAACAGTTACTATCCCAGTGGGGGACGTTTCCGCCAGGAGACACAGTAGGGATCCCATTGAACTTTAAGTGATAGCTGCCACCTCGTCATGCCAGGATCCTTGTGCTAAGAAACTAGCCAGCAAGGAAAGGAGTCGCCACACGGGTCATCAGGAGGAGAAAAGACTGCTGCTACGTGATGGGGGCACCCAGCTGGGTGATGGGGCAGCTCATGGTATTGGGACTTCCCCTGCCCAATTCTGATGGCAAGTGGATAAGCACAAGTGCCCAGATCTCTGGTGTCCTGTGACCAGGGGCTCAGTCCTCGCAGAGCGGAGGGTCTGAGTCACCCCATCAGGTCAGTAACCTATGTCAGCAGCAGCTGGTCAGGGGAGAGGGGCCTCTAGAAGGGACAGCCGAGCAGCGGGTGTTACTTGTGCCCGTGGGACCAGCTGCAGTGATGGGGCTGGACCTTGCTCCGTTAACCTTCCTCTTGTAACCTTCACCGGGGGAAGAGATCGACTTAGCTCCTCGAGAAGCTGCGCCCGTGGGTCCCCGTGGTTTATGGGGTGGGCTGGAGTGGACGCTGCAATGAGCCACCCAGATGTCCTTCAGGAAGGAGGAACTTGCTCCCCTGGCTGCTGGGAGTGGGGCTGCCTCCCCGCTGAGCGTCTCCCCCAAGGTTCCCGGGGCTGAAGGAGCTGCCACATCTAGTTACACCTCCTTCCTGGGGGCGCCCACACCCAGCCCAAGGGTAATGTGGGCCCGCGGGCCCTCTAGCCTCAGCCCTGGACATCTCTAAAGAGCCACTCCAGCTCCAGAGCCCCTTCAGGACTGGCATCGTATCCCTCATCCCATCCTGCTGCCCTCTCTCCCGCAGAGGTGTTACTCCCAAGGCTACCTCCACTAAGACTTCTGAATGCAAATCTCCATTTTAGAGCCTGTTTCCTGGGGAATGAGACCAAAGACAGGATCATTTGGGGCTGAGCCTGGCACATTTTCATTTCTAAGTGTGAGAGTATAGGCAGGATGATTTCATTTCTTAAGGTCACTTCCATCCTACAGTCTCTATCCAGGTACATCCTTTCTTCTTCCCAAACCTTTTGAAAATAGCTTTCTTTAAAAAAAAAAAAAATTGCTTTCCTAAAGTCTCGGACACACATCCCGTAATTTCAGTCGCTCTCAGATATCCCACAGCTGAAACCGCACTTGCCCCTCCTCCCATCCTCTGCCCATGGCTGTTCGCTGGCACTCAGCCTACAGTCTTCCCTCTCTCATCTTTTCTGTTCCGAGCTCTGCTTTATCTCTTTCTGTCCCAGGACCATCACCTTTGCTCCCTGATGACTTGGGGCTCGGGGCAGGGAAGGTCGGAGAAGGAATAACATGCAGGTTGGAGGACGGGATTCGGAAAACAAACCTTTACCCCCTCCCGTAGGGCTGTTCCATGAGCTCAGACTTCCCTGGAGTGGCACCAGGGATGGGACCAGCGTGCAAGGTGCGTGTCATTCTCCAGGAAACCACGCTGCGCTGAGTTAGGCGGCCCTGACTTAGAAGGACAACTTCCGGTCAGCGTTTCCGAATCCACACCTGGCTCCATCCTGCTACCTACCTCTTTCAGGTGCTGTGGAAGAGAATTCCTCGGGGGGATGGCATGCTTGGCCTTCTTGTAAACGCACCGCAGCAAGACAAAGCAGCCAGTGAGCGTCAGGAGGACGGTGCACACCGAGGCTCCCAGGACCCCGGCCACGATCCAGGAGGGGGCGATTTCTGCAGGGACAAGGGGCTGCGTCATGTTCTTGTCAGGCACAGATTGGCTGACAGTGACCGTAATGCTATTTTCACCATCACAATCCAAAGGTAACCCCTGACCGTTGCGGGGACCCACACGTTTGTCTCGGAAGGCGTGAGGAGGAAACCCAGCAGCTGTTCGAGGATCCAGAGGTTTCCAAGTCTCACCCTTTCCTGTCTTCCTCCAAGTTGGGTTTCTGGCATGATTGCTGGTACACACAAAAAGCAGCGGCCGCAAGAACTCTGATCCACTTTCTCTACTCACAGGGTAGCAATCAGCTCCCTGGTGGGGATAAAGCTCTTCTGCCTTGAAGCAGAAAACACGACACCCTGGGCCCCAGAGCCCCGGTGAAACACACGCGCTACAGCGTTCTGAACTGAGAACTGCACAGATGACCCCACCTGATCCCCTGCACTCAGAGACCTCCCCTAACAGTGTGGTCGCCAGCAGCCTAAGGCTGAGCTCTGGGACCACCCAGCACCCCCTTGAGCTCCTCTCTGGAAAAACTCAAGGCTACCAAAAGAATTCACCTTTGTTCTGCCAACTCTTGACCATCCTTTCTTAGTGCATTTTCACAAAAAACTCGGGACTGTAAATCTTTCCTCTGTCCTTTTGGGACCTACATGTATCTCCTACAACCAAGGAGCGTCTTTCTCAAGGACCTGAAAGCCATTTCTTTGAAATGTCATCATCGGGAAGGAGCAAGCCCCCGTCTAAGAGTTCCAGTGGGACCTACCCTGGCATGGTTGGTGACACTATGATGAACCCCTGGGGGACAGTGCCTGGGTCTCCTTGGGTCTCCAACCCAGACATTTTAGCATCTTAGACAAGGACATTCCACAAGCACACCTGGTTGATGGTGAGAAAATTCAAAGGATGCTTTTGTGACTCACCAAGAGGGGGAAATGGGGAAGGAGAGCAGACACTGTTTTACACAGGCTGTGAATTGTGGGAGAATCTAGTGATCAACACCCTCTATATAAGGCTCTCTAACTTGTTTCAGTCTGTCTGATCATGCTGTTAGGTGGACTCCCTTTCTGTTTCACAGGGAAATCGTGCCTTTGCTTACCTATGGGATTAATCTGTAGGCAGTGGGCTTAGATATTACTTCCTCCCTGTCATTTACTAGCTGAGCAACTTTGGGCAAGTTACTTCACCTCTCTGGACCTTCACCTTCTGTCTCTGAAAGGGGAGAAGAGCCTTTCAATGCTCTCATTGAAAACTTGTGAGGTTTAAATGAGAGAACTATGTTTAAAAAAACCTAAAATGATGTTTGACAAAAGCAGATTTTCAGTGGGCTATACTTTTCCTTTCCTTTTTTTAAAAAAAATATTTATTTTTGGCTGCGTTGGGTCTTCGTTGCTACACGCGGGTTTTCTCTAGTTGCGGTGAGCGGGGGCCACTCTTCCTTGCGGTGCGCAGGCTTCTCATTGTGGTGGTTTCTCTTGCTGCGGAGCACGGGCTCTAGGCACTCAGGCTTCAGTAGTTGTGGCACGTGGGCTTCAGTAGTTGTGGCACGTGGGTTCAGTAGTTGTGGCACGTGGGCTCTAGAGCACAGGCTCAGTAGTTGTGGCACATGGGCTTAGTTGCTCCGTGGCATGTGAGATCTTCCCGGACCTGGGACCGAACCCGTGTCCCCTGCATTGGCAGGCGGATTCTTAACCACTGAGCCACCAGGGAAGCCCTACTTTTCCTTTCCTTTTAAAAAATGTTTGGGGGCTTCCCTGGTGGCGCAGTGGTTGAGAGTCCATCTGCCGATGCAGGGGACACAGGTTCATGCCCTGGTCCGGGAGGATCCCACATGCCACAGAGTGGCTGGGCCCGTGAGCCATGGCCACTGGGCCTGTGCGTCTGGAGCCTGTGCTCCGCAACGGGAGAGGCCACAACAGTGAGAGGCCCGCGTGCCGAAAAGAAAGAAAAAAAAAAAGTTTGGATTTTGTCAGTTAATGGGTGATCACTTAAGAGTCACGAAATATTTCAAATAGTTCTCTTTTCGGTCAAAGTGTGTGCCTCATGCCATGTTTCATGACATAAACCTTAAGGAATATTTAAATGCATGATTTTAATAATGTCCTTATTAATAACGGTAATGACATCCAACCCATATTGCGGGTTCACTCCGTGCCTGGCGCTGTCCTGGGTGACACCCTTTGATTCCCCTCATTTTGCAGACGAGGCGGCCAAGGCACCAGGCAGTTCAGGATGTGCCCCACACCACTTGTTACATTGGAGTCCACAGCAGGGAAGGACGGGACACAGGACAACCGGGCATGTACTCAGGCTTGGGGAAAGCAGTTGGCAGGTGTTTAGAGGAAAGAGGGATGATTCCAAGGTCAGGGATTCTAGTGATTCAAGCTGGATGGGGATCCCCAAAGCACAGAATTCTGATTCAAGCACAAATGATTCATGAAAGGAATAAAAAGATAAGCTCTTGTTATTTAACGGTGCTGTTGAGAGGCTTAGCCATGGCAGGAGGAACACAGGCGGGTCGACTCAGCCTCAGATAGAGGCGTGGCACTGGACAGGGAACTACAGAAAAAGAAAGGAGACTGACAGAGAATTCCCTCCAGAGAGACAGCAAGACTTTCCATCTTCTATATGGCTCTGCATTCCTGAGAAAATTTGCTTAATATGATTGGAGAACAGCTTCGGATGGCACTGAAAAGATCACGTGCCTGGTTGAGGTGAAAGATTCCTAGATTCAGGCAAGTAATTTGTGCATTTACAAAACGAAGGAAAAAAACCCAACAACAAGATTCAGGAAACTCCAGCCTGGAAAGCTTGATGTGATATCCAGAAAAAAATACAGACATTCTGGAATGGATGGTTAAGTGGCTAATTACAAATACTTAAGAAAGATAAGGACAATCACAAAAAATAATAACATGAGGCCACCGAGAAGAAATTGGCTCAAAGTGGCTGCCTTTCCTTTTTTGGATAGGGTTACTTGTTGGTAAATTACGGCACATTATAGGCTGGTTTTTCCCAGCTGTTTTCCTTGGAATGCTCATCCTCAAAAAAGATGTTGAAAGATCAAATATGCTAAAAATGCTAACATATAGGGTGACTTTTCTGAGAAATGCGGCATACCATCATTTCCAAGCACATCTGACTACCGGGCTCTTGTTTTGAGAAATGTCCCATAACCACTCACGGGACACAGTTGTGACAGTGCTGCACTTGGCACTGGGTGTCCATTTCAGTCATATTTGCCGAAGTCTTACATGGCGACTTTGTGGACAGTAAAAGCAAAGAGCTTACATAATAGTCCACTACGTTCAGACGGACTGGTGACCAGTAAGCAACCAGTTAGGTGGTCTAGAGGGAGGTATATCCTAGACACACCAACAGTTTAAACAACGCACTGGTAAGGATCCTGAACCTCCTACCAGCAAATCAGTGGATGAGACAGAGCAAAACAGGGAGAGAAATACGTTCAATGACAAAACCCAACATTCACGAAGAACGGGATAAGCTGAAATGATGAATCACTGTGACGGCAGCACTGCAATTGCCTCAGAACGGCAGTGACACAGAAGATGAAAAGTATTACTCTCTGGAGGGAATTCTTTATTACTCTCTTTGTATTTCTGTAGCCCCCAGATCAGCACCTTGCTTCCAGGAGGGCCTCTGTAAATGAAAATGGTCAGGAGCAGACCTGCATATATGCATCCTTTTGTGGTCTGAGCTGGCGGAACCTCTGGACATCTATAAGTGACAAAAAGGCCCCAAAGGGCCTGACGTTTGTACACAGACATCTAGGCCACAAGTTTTTATCATTCTGTACGCCAATGCAATGCATCCGTACAAAATTACTCAGTGTCTAGGCCAACTGGTACCCTCCCCCTCCCTCATTTCCTTCTTCCCTTCCTCTTTCCCCATGTTTTCTTTTTTAAGAAACACCAAGCGTGGAGGCACTCTGCTAGACACTGCGGTACACATGATATGTGGGGGACTGTGTTGAGGTCCTGAATTCACGAGGAACCCTAAACCCAGCTTGCTGAGGACAGTGAAGGGGTTTCCAAACTCTTCCCATCACGTGCCTGAAGGAACTGGAGATGCGCAGCCTCGGAAGGAAAGGCTTCTGGCGGGGGGTGTCAGGGCTCGACCTTGGCTGGGTGGGCTTGGGAGGACTGAGACTTGCTTCAGGGAGCCCAAGAGGACAGAACGAGCACACTGGAGGCGGACGCGTGGAGGGAGACCTCAGCTCCCCAGACGGAAGGATCTCCCATCAATCCCTTTGGTCTAGGAGTGAACGAGCTGCCTCAGAAGGTGGGGTCTCCTTCCCAGCATGAGGCGGTCAGTCGCGGCTGAACTGGCTGGGAGTTTGAGCTGGATGATGATCTCTAAGGAGCCTTCCGGCCCTCACACTCTCGGGGAGTCTCTAAAGCTACTTAAGATGCTCAGAGGAGGGACTTCCCTGGAGGTCCAGGGCTTAGGACTCCGTGCTTCCACTTTAGGGGGCGTGGGTTTGATCCCTGGTGGGGGGACTAATATCCCACAAGCTGCATGGTGCCCTCCCTTCAGGAAAAAGATGCTCAGAGGAGACAGAGCTGTAGACGGTGCATCTCGAGACTCACCGTCAGCAGCTGTTTGCTCACAGACAGGCTCACTCCACTCCCCGGTTTTGTTCCGATCAGGAAGAAACCCTCGAACTTGAACACAGTAAGTTGTCTGTGACTCAAGATTTCGGAGGACCTCGAAGTCATACTGACCAGTAACTGGAAACTAGTAACAGAGACAAAAATAAGAACATGGCTCAGCAGTGAAGAGACGTCGTCTTTTCTCCCGCCTCCCCGCCCCACTTACTCGTCATAATCTTTCCTTCAGGCTCAAAATAGGAGGATGAAGGAAGCAGGCGCTCCTCCTGGGTCGTCTCAGGGGCCCCGGAGACCATTCTGAGGTCGGGGTGGGCAGGGCAAGGACTGACCACGGTCCTGCCAAACCACCTCATGCCCTGAATTCTCCAGTTTAAATGACACACAAGCCATCCCACTTCCTTTTTTAAAAAAAATAAACCAGTTGTATGGGTTGAATTTCACCCCTCCCAAATTCGATGTTGAAGTCCTAACCCCTAGTACCTTCAAAAGTGACTTGGTTGGATAGAGGGTCTTTGCGGATGTAATCAACGTAAATGAGGTCATTAGCGTGGGCCCCAATCCAATACGACTGGTGTCCTTATAAGGAGAAAATTTAGACACAGACGTGCACACAGAATGCCACGTAAGGATGAGGCAGGGATTGGGGTGATGCCTCTATATACTAAGGACCCAAAGATTGCCAGCACCCACCAGAAGCTGGGCGAGAGGCCTGGAACAGATCCTTCCTCATGGTCCTTAGAAGGAACCAATCCTGCTGACACTTTGATCTTGGACTTCCAGCCTCTAGAACCTTGAGACAATACATTTCTGCTGTTTCATCCACCCAGTTTACAGTACTTTGTTAAAGCAGCCCTGGCAAATGAACACACCAGTCATCTACAGTAAGACTCAGTGTGATTTTCTAAGTCCAGAGCATGTTCCTGACAAGGCTGCCTGGGGGTCTCCTCTGAATCACTTCTCCATTCACGGACCTGAGCTGCCCGCCCCCAAGCGTCTCGACTCCCCTCGAGGGCACACCCCTCAGCCTAACTCTGGTGGGGGCATCCCAGACTCATCTTAGTTTAATTTAAATATATCATAATTGATGATGTATTTCTGAATTTGAGAAACCAAAATAGTTTACAGCAAAATCAAGGGAATTAAAAGAGTACATACTGCCTGTATTTCCAGCATGGTTACAATTTCCTCACAGAAGGGCCTTATGAAAAATCTGTTATGTGGATAGGAGCTGCAATAGAAAGTGAGCACAGACTCTGTTTTTACTTTAGTAATTGGTTACTTTTCTTTGGGTGCTGGGCCTGCTGACAGCTTGATTCCTTTATTGTATAAGAAGCTAAGCTCACTGAAGGCAAGAATTGGATTTTACCAATTGAAAACATGAAGAGTACAGGATAACTTCTAATCATTAAAAGTAGAAATAAAAACAAAAAACCCCTGGCTTTCATTTCCAGGAACCCAATATTTCTAAAACCTTACAATGCATTTTTTTCAAGGCTAAACTCAGAGGTAGACACGTCAGACGCATACATGGAAGAGGGTGGCACGGATGTGAGGGCTTTTCTAGCCTTTTTTCGCTTCTGGACAACTTCTGATTTTTTCTCACTTTCTCCCATCAGGAAGAAAGAATTTCTAAAAGCTTTTAATGCTCTTAGCTTGGCAACCTAATATGGCACTCGCTCAGAGACACCTGCATTCTAAAAGGGAACCATTTAATCTTATTTCTTTCAGGCTGCTGTAACAATACCAATGACTGGGTGGTTTATCAACATTTATTTCCCACAGTTTTGGAGGCTGGGAAGTCCAAGATCAAGGCACTGGCAGATCTGGTGTCTGAGGAGGGCCTGCTTCCTGGTCCATAGCTGGGTCTTCTCAGGAGTCCTCACATGGTGGAAGAGGCAAGGGAGCTCTCTGGGGCCTCCTTTATAAGGGCACTAATCACATTCACGAGGGCTCCACCTTTATGACCTAATCACTTCCCAAAGGCTCCACGTCCTACTACCATCACATTGGGGATTAGGTTTCAAAGTATGAATTTGCAGGGGAGTGTGGGTGGGGTGGGGAGAGGGGGAAGGGAACATAAACGCTGAGTCTATAGCACCTATAAACTGGTAAAGGTGACCCTGCAGGCACAGTGAGGGAGGCACTGGGGAGCAGGCAGCCTTTCCAACACTCTGTGTGTCACACCAAAGTCTTCCACACTGCAGGCAGAGTGAAGGCACAAATATGTAACCATATGCCTGTCCTGAGGGCATATTCTAGGTAAGAAGCTAAAGAGATAAACTGGGTTTTGAATTTCATGCCTGGGGCAGGAGGCACTCAGGCCTGGTAACTGTGGAATCTGATCCTTAATCACAGTAGGCTGCAAGCTCCAGGAGTTACCTTCATACCCCAGACTTTGGCAGGGACACTTGCATTTGATAAGTGACCATAAAACTTTCTGTGTTGCTTCCTAGGCACACAAATCCTGGGGTCTTGACTATAAGCAAAGTCATCTATTCTGTGAAGAAGGCAGATACCCTGCATCAGTTAACGAAGCATTTTTAAAAACTGAAGTATAGTTGATATACAATATCTTATTGGTTTCAGGTGTGCAACATAGTGATCTGACATTTATATACGTTACGAATTGATCACAACAGAGCATTTTTGGGGGAGGGAGATTAACTTGAGATTTTTGGGGGGCTACATAGTATGTAGATATAAATTTAATTACATCATTCTTCAGACAATATACATGGGTGACCCTTTCTTCCCAAACACTTGAGAATCAGTGATAAAATCAACATTTAATGCAGAGGAGATAACATACCCATAACTTAACTTACATAAAATATACGTAAGTTAGTTTAGGACCACAGATGGCATTCAACTCAGAAGCACTAAGTGTAAGAGTTGAACAAAGATGAATGAAAATAGTCTTGACACGTCTACACAAGGGGACGGGAACCTCACGTATTGACCATACCCATTGTTCAGGTAATGGGACAAGCTTACTTTTTTCATTATGTCATTAAATTCCTCAACAATCCTATAAAGTAGGTTATTATCCCCACTTTATTAATGAAGTGGATTATATGCCCATTTTGCAGACCTGAGAAGCTGAGGTCAAGAATGTGACTAGAGTCACACAATGGCAGGGGCAACGTTCCAACAGGATCTTTCCACTCCCAGCCCATGTTGTGAAAGGCACTGTCCCTGGAAGAGGAGGAAAGCAACGGGGAAAAGTGGGGTCAGTCCAGTAAAATGTGACACCCACCATTCATCCAGGGCTGGGGCTGCCCTGGACACGGACTTGACTATTCTGTGGTGTACTGGGGCCTCATGGCATGAAGCAGTAGACATTCACTGATCACCTGACTCCGCTGACTCCAAGTTCCACCAGCCAACAGCTGAGTCAGCTCTGCCTTCTTAGGCAACTTCCCTTTGGGGAGAGAAAGGCCTGAGCTCCTGCACCAGCACCCAGGAAGTCTGCTCTGTGCATTGCCCTTGTGGAATGGGAAGCATGACCTGACATACCGGCCATCCCCCACAATGGGAAGCTTCTGGAGCTCAAAGGACCAGGCCTGAGATCCTCTGGACCAGTGGTCCCCAACCTTTTTGGTACCAGGTACCAGTTTCGTGGAAGACAATTTTTCCAAGGACCGGGGGCGGGGGGGTGGTTTCGGGATGATTTATTTACTGTGCAGTTTATTTATTTATTTATTTATTGTGCAGTTTATTTCTATTATTATTACATCAGCTCCACCTCAGATCATCAGGCATTAGATCCTGGGGGTTGGGGACCCCTGCTCTGGACCATAAGGTGCTGCCACCTGGCAAAGCCTCCCTCCGACCAACACTGAGCAAAGGAGAGGGAGCTTATATCTGCAACGCAGGTGATTCGCCGTGCTTACCTTTTCGTCTGAGCCATTTTTCCAATATTGCACATGATAAGTCCATGAGTTATAAATATTCCTCATGCTCCATGTTTCAGGTTCATTCTTAATTTTCGGGGCTAAGAAACGCATATGTAAAGAATTAGCAAGTGCTTCTACTTGGATTCTGGGAGGTCCGATAATGGCTAAGTATGAGAACAAAGCAAAATGACAATCAAAATTCACATGTTAAAAACATCAACATTTACTTTTCATAACTGGGCAGACCAACTGGGCTACTGAAGTACTCTGCCCTGTGATACACTGCTGAGGTGATGCTGACAGACGTGGCTAAGGAGGATTCTTGGATTTTGTTTCTTAAAAAAAAAAAAAAATCTATTAATCTTTGCCTTCATTAATCAGGTTTAGTCCATTTATGTTTACTGTGATTTGATATATTTGGAATTATTCCAACTACATTAATTTGTGTTTTCTGTAAAGAGTCCCATTTTTTTTTTTTTTTAATTCCTCTCCTCTTTCCTTCTTTCTGTTGGGTTGAATTTTCTTTATTTCCATTGTTGGGTTGGAAGCAGCAGATGGTATTTCTATTTTTAGTGTTGAACCTATATAATTAAACCACTTTCCAGCAAATACATTTTCCAACAAAGTCTGAAACTAGATCTTCCCAGACCAGGGCTTGAACCCATGTCCCCTGCATTGGCAGGCGGATTCTTAACTACTGCGCCACCAGGGAAGTCCTGGGCAATCCTTCTAATGCATCTCTCGATCTGCTCTTTGGAGGGCTGCACTTGAGTTCTGTTCATGAGATTCTTCTCCTTATTCTCTCAATTGCTATCTGGTGGTTTAATTAGTTTTCAATTCCTGATGTTCTAATGATGTTCATTTTATGACCTCTGGTGGGTCCCCATGACCTTCCAGCTCTAACCCGGGAATATTTTTTTCAATGCCGACCAGCCAGCCTGACCCAACCCATCTGCCATCAGCTGTATCCGTCCCTCTGTCCTTCATCCTGGGCCAGCTGGCCTTTCTGTCTCTACACCTACCTAAAATCAGTCTTTATTCTTCTGCTGATTGCATCACATTTCTTTAAGTCATGATTCCAAACTGACTTCCTCCTCCAAAATTCAACACACAAATCCTTCTAGTTTTTCTCATTAACAGCACTGGCTCCAACTCGTTTTTACCCTCGAGGCATTAAAGTCATCAAATTTATATTTAATTATCTTATTGCTTTATGCCTATCCTGTCCTATCTCTCCCACAAGCTTCTTTAAGGCCACAGCTCTTTTTATTACATTCCCTAAGCTCCTTGTGCAAGGCCATCCACTTGGTGGGCACTCAAAGAATTCTTGCTGACGGGCCAACCAAGGGGGAAATGAAATCAAGGCAAGATGATGACATAACAACAAAATAAAAACCAAGATGGCTTACTGTCATCCACAGGACAGAAGGTGATGTTTATCCAGTCTGAATGCTCGTCTTCAAATTGAGCCCTGACCCTCAAGGTGTGGTCACCATACTTGGAAAGACTTGAGAAATCACATTCCGTCAAGACAGTACTTGTGCATATATCTTGGAATTTCCTATAACTACAAAATCAGAAGAAATCATGAGAGTTCTAACCTCAGTCGCTCTGAGGCTGACTGATGCTTTATTCTTCTGCTACCAAAGGATAATGGAGGATAACGTGAGAAGAATAAAGCAAATTCTTTACTGTCAATTTCAAAGAATACTATGTATCATTCATAGGAGCATTTTCCAAACTGTGCTCCATGGAACCTTAATGATCCTTGAGGTATCATAAGACATTTCAAAAACAGTCCATCCCACAGTCAAACAATTTGGGGCAAAAACTGGGTGAGACATGAACAGGTGTCTGTCCTCACAACAGAACTGCTCAGAGACTTTCATATCCTAATAAAACGTGTCTTTCCAAAAAGGGGTTGAGTATTCAACATATTTGACCAAGAAAGCTACCTTCTTTGACTATGTATTTCTGAAACTTGTGGGGCATGGTTTGTGAAATGTTGATATTCACAGATTAGCCAAAATAAGTGTATCACAATGATTTCAAATAATGTCTTGTAAGTGACTATTGTTCAGTTACGCTGGAAAAATTATAAAATTCGTTGACCTCAGATCTCCAGCCCTGGCACCAACCCCTGAAGGGAGGGTGGCAGAAACATGAAGTGGAAGGAAAGGAATGTTTGAGAGTACCTACCAGGTGCATGTAACTTAACCTCATAACAGCCAAAGGAGCTATAATTAGCTCCACCTGAGGTAAGGAAATCCAGGCTCTGGTCTTGCAAAAAGTAAGAATCTTGTCTGACTGGCACCTTCCTGTCTTTGTGCCAAAACCAATCTGGCTACCCTAAGAGGTAATAATGAAGGTGATGGTGATAAAAATAATAACAGCCAACACTTGTCAAGCACATAGGTGTCAGGTGGGGCACTGATTTCGCAGTATTATCTCATTGAATTTTCACAACCCCAGGAGGGCGGAAGTGACATCACTCCTATTTTATAGGTGAGGCCCAGGTGTAGAGAGCCTAAGACACTCCCCCATGGGACTTGGGTCTGCTTGACTTCAGAGCCCATTGCCTCAGGCACCACTCCACAGTCCATGGCACTCTTAGGAGGCAGAGATAATTGGGCTTATGCTATTTCACTGTCTGCTTTTTTCAGTTAATAGACCACAAACATTTCTCTAATCAATCAAGTCTCCGTGGCTGCCTAACATCCCATCATTGGGGAAATCCAAGGGTCATTTCATGAAGGGGTTTTTCTCACAGGTGGCCATTTCTTTCCATGCATTTAAACTAATGCATGAATTGGGTGGAACACAGAGTATTGCAAGAGTTGTTCTGCAATAACTTCCATTTCACTAGGTCATTTTTATTGCATCTACAGATATTTTTCTTCCCATTAAGTAGCTAATAGGCTCTATTCCCCATATTTACATCTAATTGTTTTAGATGTTTCCATATTCAAATCACCAAGCCATCCTCTGAAGTTCCCTCCACCACCGGCCAGCCCTACCCAATGTACACATACAACAAGAATCTGTACTGTGCAACTGCTCAGGTTAAATTCTAATCAAACCTTTTCCAGAGCCACAGAAGGGTAATCAGATTTTTCAGGATCAAATTTCTTCCACACCCAGCACGTGTTTTGTTTTCCCCAGCACAGGCCATGCTTGGTCTGCAAGTCTACGCTGAGGAGACCCGGAACCCAGGTATCCATTCTTGGTTATTGGGAGCTCTCATCTAAAAGACAAACACCTAAAACCAAATGCCTCTACTCCAATGGCAAAGAAGCAAAGAACAGAACAACAAGAAATAAACCACAGGGGAGAGGGACAGACAGAGAGCGAAGCTCATTTTCCACAGTGAAATCCCTAGAGCTATCAAGACAGAGTGGAGAAAACACAGACGAAATTACAAAACCAGTCAGTGCTAGAAAATACACCGCAGGAGAAAAATAAATCTCAGAATGATGCTTATTAATTAAGTCCTTGGGGAAACTGACAAAACTGGAATATGGACTTAAAGGACTGTATCATTGGTGAAGCTACCAAATCTTGATAACTGTACCACAGCGATGTGAAAGGTTATCCTTGCTCTTATGAAGTACACAATGAGATATTAAGGGGCAAAAGCAAGAAAATGTGGCGAACCTTAAAAATTGGTGAATATAGGCTCTTTGGAAGTTCTTTGTATTATACTTGAAATTTTGAAATGTTTTGTTACCTGGGAATTATTTCGAACTAAAAAGTTTCAAAAAAATGTAAACGAGGAGGGCTTCCCTGGTGGCGCAGTGGTTGAGAGTCCGCCTGCCGATGCAGGGGACATGGGTTCGTGCCCCGGTCCGGGAAGATCCCACATGCCGCGGAGCAGCTGGGCCCGTGAGCCGTGGCTGCTGAGCCTGCGCGTCCGGAGCCTCTGCTCCGCAATGGGAGAGGCCACAACAGTGAGAGGCCCGCGTAACGCAAGAAAAAAAAAAAAAATGTAAACGAGGATTATCTTATTCATCTTTCTCCTTCTTCTCTGACTTAGCAGGCCTTGGATATGTTTGTAAAATAAAGGCCGGGTGGGAGGAGTGTGGGATCCATGGCATCTGAGACCCCCAATTCCTCCCTCCTCACTGAAGGAGCTGTCTGCCTTTGACAAAGTTTCTGAGTCACACGGGAAGCAGGTGTGCGGCTCACTGGCCTTTGGCTTCCTGTTGCTGTCTGCACCTGGCACAAAGGTGCGTCATCTGCACTCCAGCCTGTGGTGTACAGTGGCAGGCTGCCAAGGGAGGGCTGGCACAGGGAAAAACCGACAGGCTGGGCAGGTCCTGGGAGGTCAGAACACCACTGAGGCAATCGTGGTCGGTGATACCCTTCCTTCATAAGCGTCTGCCCAGCAGCTGTCTTACATTCAATTTCAGAGTAACTGAGTGCTCACTATGCAAATGATCTGCACCCCCCCAGTACTGGGGTGCGCAGTTTATAACCTACTGGAGGGGGTCGGTGGTAAGCAAGCAAGGGGCTTCCTGCCTGCTTTGAATACCTCAGTTTTCTTGGATAGCTTCCACTGTTGACTTCTAGCAATACTACTCTAATAACTGCAAGATGGTCACCACTGGCATTTGTCTCTTAAAAAACATTAATAGCGACAAGCCCGATATGTTCGCGTTGCGGTAGGCTGCCACTGTGGCCGATGACACTCACCATCTACACGATAAAATGTCTGTCACACCATGAACGATCACAAGAAAAAGGAAAAAGGATTTTACTTGTCTGTTTTCAGAGAACAGCGCTTTCACAAGAATTTCTGGGACAGAAAGAAGAAGGCCAGGAGAGAGGCTCCCCCTGGGCTGTCAAGGTCACTGGGGTGACAGCAGTCAGACTCTCTCCTTGGTCTGGCACAGTGACCAGCCCAGCCAAAGCCACCATCCTCTGCCAAGAGCACCCCAGACTTACCTTTGGTACTGAGCTGTGAAAGTCAGATTCCCCTTGGGAAAAGCAGGCGACTCCCACTGTAGAATGTTCCTGAAATTAACTGAATTCATTCTGACATTTTCAGGAGGTGGCACCATTCCTAATGCTGTAAAAATAAAGGGAAAAAAGTTGGCAACTCTCTTCCTCTAAAAGGCTGTCCAAGAAAATAACCATATCCCATACTCAGGTCTTCCCTATGGCTCCGAGTCTTCAAATGGGCATGCGGGTGAAGGAGAGACATGCTTTAGCTGTGCTGAGGAGTCTAGACTGTATCTGAAGAGAAGAAATTGCTAAGGGGAGGAGGATAGTAAGAGTGAAGTGGGGATGGCTGAGGGTGACCTGGATTTGGGTGGTGGTAGAAAGGTGTGAAGGGGTGGGTAGATGGATTTTAGATATATTTCCAGAGGTATAAAATCTAGGTTTCCTAATACATTTGGTGTGAAGAAGTAGATGTCAATATCCACTCCTGGCTTAAGTACCTGATGGCCTGACTGGAGCTGGGGACAGGGAAATCAAGAGTCCCAGTTTAGAATTTGCATTAGGTTTGAGATGCTGAAGGATACGTAAGTCGGTATATCAGAGACAGCTGGATGAATGAGCCTGGGGCACAGAATATAGATCTGGGCTAGAGACAAAAATAGTTGTTAAACTTTTTAATAGAAAACGCCAAACATACACAAAAGTACAGAGAAGAGTATATTAAACCGCCACCGGCCCATCACCCAACTAATGCCAACAGATATAATTTTGAGAGTCGTGAGCCCATAGCTGGTATTTAATGCTAGAGTTCTGCTGATACCCCCCAAAAGGGATAGTGTAGGGGAAGGAGAGAAGAGGGCTCGGGCATGAACTTGGCTGTATGGAGATCTGGTAGAGGGGGTGGATCCCAAATAGAAAAAGGCTGGTAGGTAGGAGGGAAACCGGAGAGCAAGGTACCCTGGAAGGCCAGGGATGAGTTCATCAGGAAGGAAGGAGGGATCCATAGTGCTGTTTGAACCTGGGCTAGCAATTTAGAGCAGGACAGGAAGGGTTTCACTGGATTTAGAACTCAGAAACAACAGAGCTGCAGAGTTGAGGGGCAGAATTCGGATCTTGGGGTGCTGGGGACTTAGTGGGAGGCCCTGACGGCCCGCCCAGGCACTTAGTCACTTTGAGTGCGCCTCTGGGGTCCGCTCAGGGGTCGTCTTTGGGGCCATCGCTGCCCGACGTCGTAGCCGAGCCTCCTGGTTCCCGAGCGCACCTCGGGGCGGGACGCAGCGCCAAGGCGGGGCCGGGTCTCCGCGCAGGCAGCCCGGCTTGGGAAGCGCGCTGGGCGCGCGATTGAGCCGACACTCCGGAGAATGCCCGGCGTCCCCTCCCCGCAGACCCCTCACCTGACACCAGGAGGCAGCCGCCCAGCCAGCTCCGGAGGCTCTGCGCCATGGTCGCGCATGGGGCCCGGGAGGGCGCTCGCGGGACCGCGGGCAGCCACCGGGCGCCGGGGTACGCGCCCCTACGCCCGCTTCCGCGCCAGCGTAAGGGAGCTCCGGTGCCCCCGCCCCGAGGCTGCTTCCGGGAACCGGTGGGGCGGGGCGACACGAAGCCCCGCCCCTGCCTCGGACCCCGTCCCCGCGTGCCAGTCTCTAGAGGCCGCTCTCACCCGATTGGCAGGGGCAGGTGCAGAGGTGGAAGGGCACTATCCTCCTCCGGGTGAGTGGAAAACAGATTGTAAAACAGATTGCAAAACTGTGCGTGCCGTGTCCCTATTACATTAAATTCATGCTTTGAAAGGAGTCGCAAGTTAAATAAATACACTCCAACGCCAACCCAGAGGTGATATCTGGATGGTGGTGGTTTACACCATGCAGTATTCCCCAAGTTTTCTCCAGAGAACAGGCACGGCCTCTGTAACCCCTCTCCCCGCAAATAAACTGATTTTAAAGCACTCCATTAGCAAATCCAGTTTGAGAGGGTCTTCTTTACCGTAACTCCCCCCTCCCCCCAGGGATAAGCAACAACACAAAGCCAAGTCATTTCTTTGTCGATAATCGTTTGTCTCACAACACTGCTGAGAAAGGCCTAATTTCCTCTTTTTCAGCTCTGCAGTGGTGAGGTTGGAAAACCCAGAGCAGGGTAAGTACCAGGGGGTGTAAGACACTGCCTGACGTCTGTCGCTAAAACACCTCACATGAACTTGAACGCAGGGAGGGAGAATGTGCCTTTGGCCCCAATAGGCCACTGCACAGAGTTGGAGGGAGTTTTGTGCAACCTAGAGATGCCAGCAGAACCACACATCCGCTGCACATATATCCTGTCTAATAAGAAACAACTCTGAAGACATTCCCAAATTTATATTAAAAAGCGTGTTTTCTTTTTTACCAACCTCCAACCATTGTACAAAATTAAATCTTAAAATATGACACAGAGATTCTGTCCCTCTCCCTCATGCAAATGTTTCTGTATTAGTCACCCGGCCCGCACTTGGTGTGTCTGTCTTCCTCACTCAGATTGAGGAGGGTTGTGCAAGGGGCTGAGAGTTGAATTTTCAAGAGTGTAGGCGACAGAATATCATCAGGGAGGTGCCCAAGACTTGGCTGGACCTTCCCTACTTCTAACCCAACCCGAAGCCTGTGCTTCTGTTTCCTGGTGTGTGCCCCTCCTTTCCCTCCCGCAGCCCAGCCTCCCTCCTCTTTTTCTGCTGCTTTCCAGCTCTTCCCTGGAGCCTTTGGTAAACAATGCTGACTGCTCCTGCTATAAACCCTGCTCTTTACTCTGGGAAACATGATGCAGAAACATTAGACATCCATGAGAATAAAGGGAATGGGCAGGGCCTTTTCCCTTCAAAGCAAATCACTTTGAACTGGTAAACAACGCACTGAATGGTACCAGAATACTCTGTTTCCCACCTCCCCTTCCCCCAGACTGGGAATTTGCACAGCTGTTGTCACCAGTCTCCTAATCTTTCCGTCGGAGAACACTTGGAGACCCCAAAGGAGCAAGTGCGGGTGCTGGGAGGGACAGCACCGGAGGTAGCAGGTGTCCAAGTTAATTAAATATTTCTTGATTCATTCATCTCATTACATAACCGTCCCCCATGTCAACATCCGATTCGGAAGTGTCACTTTTATCAGAAGGAGAATCTTCAGGCCACGGATACTGCGCAGAGGGGCCGGGGAAGGGCAGCTGTGTCCCTTCTCCACTGGCCACCAGAAGAAGGTTCGATTCTGTCTCGTCGGGGTCCTCTAGCACCACTGTCTCTTCTGGACCAGATGGTAACATTGGAGTGACTTCTGAGTCGTCGTTGTCCTCAAGGGCCCTCACGCACACAGAGTTCAAATCCACGTTGAAGACAATTCTGTCCCCAGACCCCTCCGTGGGGCTGCTGTCCTCCTCGGAAAAGGGGTCCTGCAGCAGGTTCCCTCTCCCCTGGTAGCCCCTACTTGTGCATTCCGACTGCCAGGGGCTGGGCCCTGGTGCCATCAGGGTCTCAGCATCAGCCTCGGGATCGGGCAGGTCACGCTCCTCAGCAGCCGGGTCACTGCAGTCCTCCAAGGTGGCCGAGGACACAGAGGCGGGCCACAGCCTGCCCGTTAGTCCGTGCGTGGTGTAACCACCTGCGCTTGTTCGGGGGGCTGCTTCATTATCGCTGTCACTTTCATCATCATAATTATAATTCCACACTTTCTTCTTTCTGTTGATGTGAATGACCTCCACGGTAGCCACTTTTTCCAACGGAGGCAGCTCGGGAAATACCCAGACTGACAATTTATAAAAATTCTTTAAAAAAAACAACAACAGAGGGTATCAATTCTGAGTGTTTGTTCTTTACTTTTTGACATCATAAAACTTAATGAGGTTAACTACACAGTGATGGGGAAGGTGGTAATGAGGACGATGACAAAAGCAACGACAACAATGGCTAATGGTTACATAGTGTTTACTATTTGCAGGGCACTGCTTTTAGTAATCTACACACGTTATAATTCACTTTACCCTCACAACCGCTCTATGAAGTAGGCTTACTATTCTTATCCCCACTTTACAGATGAGAAAATGAGGCAGAGAGGTTAAGAAACTTGCCCAAGTTTCACAAGTTTCAGGAATACTAAGTGGTGGAGGCTGGGTTTCAAACTAGGAGGCTGCCTGCAGCAGAGGCTGCCCCATTCCTTCCTACTGCCATTTCCTCGCTGCTCCTTGCTTGTCAGGGGAATCTATCCATTTAGTCTGGATAGATTTCAGCCCTGGATTGCTGACATTCTTAAGGGTATCAAGGAACTGTGAGTAAGGAGAGATTCTAGGGAGCCGATTCCACTGGGGTCAAAGCCCTCTGCACTGGAGGACCTTAAAGAGGCAGGTGACCCCTAAAGGGCCAGAGATGAGAAGAGCAGGGAGACTGCAGCTTGCTCTGATCCAGCACCTCCAGGACACAGAAGGTGAGGTGGGCTAAGGAGACTGGCTACAGTGGGGTCATGCTGAGGAGGGTGGTCACGAGATTCCTTTCACAGACCTGGAATCATCAATGACATCCTCCTCCTCTCTATTCTCTTGCTCAGGCTGCCCAATTTGACAAGCCTACTCTTCCCTGACTCTATCCAGACCTAGCCTTGGGATGAATTGTTCCATTGGGTTGTTCATCATTTTTCTTATTGATTTATGGGGGTTCTATATATAATCTATAATCTAGATGCCAATTATTTGTTGATTATTTATGCTATATGTAATTTCCCCCAGTCTCTGGTTTAACATTTTACTCTCTTTATGATAACATTTGATGGAAAGAAGTTCTCAATTTTAATGTAAGAAGATGTATCACTTTTCTTTCTTCATGGTTTCTGCTGAATCTTCCTTGCCCCAAAGTAAAAATCTCCTTTATTGCCTTCTAAAACTTTTAACAGTTTTGCCTTTCACATTACAGTCTTTAATAAGCCTGAAATTGATGTTTGTGTATGGTGTGAGGTAGGGATCCAATTTCATTTCCCCCCATATAGATAACATTTATTGACCTGTCAATCCTTTCCCCATTGCAATTCCTACTTGTCATTAGTCATGTTTCCACATATGTGGGTCTGTCTCTGGGATCTCCATTTGACTAGATCTTTGATAATGCTTTTCAATAAGGTTAGATAATTTTCTCCACAATGGGCTTATGACATCTTCTGTTAGATATCTTCCTTGTTTTTAAAATGTTTTTATTACCATTGTAATGGTATTATAAAAACGGTATGTTTTCATTTAAATCGCATTATTCCATTTAACTGTATGATTCCAAGTTCAAAACCAGGTAAAACTAATCTATGCTGTTAGTAATCAGGAAAGTGGTTATCCTGGAAATGGGCAGTGACTAATAGGTAGGAGAGACTACTGGGGAGGCTGGTCATGTTTTCTTTCTTGATCTGGGTGTGAGTTATGTGGGTACATTGAGTTTGTGAAAATTCACAGAGCTTTTTGCTATGGTTTTGCTATGGTGTACTTAATTTCTTGGATGTTGAAAAGCAACTTATATAAAAATATATTTGTTTTCTAAGTGATTGTTGCTAGTGTATAAAAATGCAAGCATTTTTATATTGATTATTTTGTGTGTAACACATTGCTAAACTTATTAGTCCTAATACTTCGTCTCTAGATTCTGAATTTCTTACTTAGCCAGTCATATCATCTATAAATTATCATTGTCTCTTCCCCCATTTTTCAGACTTTAAGCTCCATAAGGGCACATTTTTTGTTTGCTTTATTCACATCAAAATCCCCAGCACCTATAACATGTGGACACACAGTAAATACACAACACGTATTTGTTAAATGCAAAAGAGGAGAAGGAGGGGGAGGGGAGGGGGATGGGAGAGAGAGAAAAGACAATGTTTAAAATTTTTAATATCTGTTCTTGATTAAACATACATACAGAAACATACTAGACCTAGGGTGTTCTGTTTTACTATTCCTAGAGTTTTTACTTAAACACAGAGTAACAATTTTTAATGGAGAAATACCAGGCAGACACAAGATAACAATACCTCCTGTCATTACTTGGGGTTAACACAGTAACAGGTATAAATATAATTGGCATATAATTTGGGTGCATTTTAAGGATGGGAAGAGCCCCAGGGAGACCTGGGAGGAGGGTTAGTAATGAGTTTAGGTAATTCAGGCAGAAGATTACCTAGGAGGTGATGGGTGTGGTGCTAGGGGCCTTTAAATCTCAAGGCTGCATGAGAAATATGAATGGGAGTGGGATTTACCTAAGACCTCAAGGCCAAAGCAGTACTTGGCCAACGGAACAGTTGCAGTAAAGGCTGAGAGTAAACTTGCAACTGAACACTAACATAAAAGATTCAAAATATACATTGTTAAAGATACAAAGATAAAAGTTACACTGATAGATAAAAACCAACCATCCTTGCAATACAGGGATCATAGTATGGATGAAATCCAACACAGAGCAATTTCCTTCTCATAAGCTACAACCAAATGCCATCTAGGTTCAAATACTAATTGTAAGTAAAACCTCCCAAAGCACCCCTCCCCCCAAACAATCCCTCCCCCAACCCAACCTGAACAAATAAGAAGAAAAAGAAGCGTACATCATCCATAACAAAGAATGAAATCATGCCATTTGCAAAAACTTGAATGGACCTAGAGTTTATCATATTAGGTGAAGAAAGTCAGAGAGAAAGACAAATATCATATGCTATCACTTATCTGTGGAATCTAAAAAAAATGACTCAAATGAACTTATTTACACAACAGAAACAGATTCATAGACATAGAAAACAAACTTACGTTTACCAAAAGGGAAAAGGGACAGGGGTGGGAAGAGATAAATTAGCAATTTGGGATTAACATAAACATACTACTATGTATAATGTAGGTAAACAACCAGGACCTACTGTAGAGCACAGGGAACTATAGTCAATATCTTGTAATAACCTATAATGGAAAAGAATTTGAAAAAGAATATATATATATCCTTCCTGTACACTTGAATCACTTTCTGTATACTTGAAACTAACACAACATTGTAAATAAACTATACTTCAATTAAAAAAAATTTAAAGAAACAAAAGAATTAGAAAATAAAAAGCCTACACTTTTATCACCTGTGGAGGGATATTTATTTGTGGCTGTTAAAAAAATTAGAAGAAGAGGGCGTCCCTGGTGGCGCAGTGGTTGAGAGTCTGCCTGCTGATGCAGGGGACACGGGTTTGTGCCCCGGTCCGGGAAGATCCCACATGCCGCGGAGCGGCTGGGCCCGTGAGCCATGGCCACTGAGCCTGCGCGTCCGGAGCCTGTGCTCCGCAACGGGAGAGGCCGCAACAGTGAGAGGCCCGCGTACCACAAAAAGAAAAAAAAAAAAAAAAAAAAAGAAGAAGAAGAAGGTGAATGAGTTCAAACATAGAAAAATAAGATATTTCTGATAATTTTCTAATGTAGAAGGAAAGTGACACGATAGGGAAAATGAAAAATGATGGGCAAAGTGCTTGAGTCAAAGCACATGAGGAGGCTTTAGAAATATGTAAGATCAATACCCAGACTTGGCTGAGTGCTAAAGGCTCTGAGCAGGAAGAATATGCCTCAGGAAGCAGAGAGAAAATATGAAGACAGAATGGCTGGTTTCACTAACAATGAACACAAATGAGAGCAACTCTGGGGGACAGTTATACTGCGATAAATGAACAAAAGTAGAAAAAAATGATTAATACCAGCAGAGCTTTGGAGAAAGGTGTCCATCTCTATGTTGACACTAGCATTATAAATTAATCCTTTATATTTTTATATAAGATAAATTCACTTTGTGTATCTATTCCATGGAAGTAATCCAAACTAAAAAGACAACCTGTATAAAAATGTTCATTGCATTGTTCATAATGGCCAAAGACAGACATTGAAAGGAAAAGAAATCAATCCAAATGCCCTACAGTTGAGAAATGATTAAGGGAAAAAGGAGACATTAATAACAATGGAAAACTATGTTGATTATTGAAAATCATATGTGGACGAAGTATAAAAAGAAAGCAGAAAATTCAAAATAGAGGTTTATAGGGACGGAAAGGAATCCAGAGTGATAAAACACCTTGATGTTTTGAGACAATGGGGTTTTCTTCTGTGTAAATATTTAAGCGTACAATAAAAATTCTTAAGTTAAAATGAAAAATAAAGACAGGAATTAAAAAAAAATACCTACCAAAACTTTGGGGGAATTATTTCTTAAGCATATGTAGCCGATCCGTTTCAGCATCATTACAGTGCTTATGACGACAGCAGCCATTAGAAACAGAGTAATTATTCCTCCTATTGTGGCAGATTCCGATGACTCTGTTGATGAAAATTAAACGGCTTTATTTCAAAATAAATCCAACGAACAATTGCGGTTGGGAATAAATGTACATTGATCTGGCAGTGGAGGGGTTTATCAAGGGGGCAAAAGTTGGAAAAACTATTGTTAAATACCAAAGAATGGAAAGTAATCCAAGTACACATTTTAAAAAATTGATAAAAATTCAGTTTCTAAAAGTAAAACTTCTTCCAGTAGATAATTATGCTCTATAACTGCACTGTCCAATATGGCAGCCACTGGCCACATGGGACCATTCAGGTGTAAATTATCAAAATTAAAAAAAAAAAACTTTCTGAGTCACACTAGTCAGGTCTCCAATGCTCAATAGGCACAGTTAGCAGGCACGGCAGGCAGGGAGGAGTGGAAAAGGGGAGTCTGTCTGAAGAAAACAACTGCGTCACCCTGAAGCTGGACTTTGGCCACGCCAGGAGCCTAGAACTTGCTTTGTCCTGTTATGAGTTCTCCTTTAGTTTCCTGTCAAAATTACTTTTGGAAAATCTCAATTTTCTGAATGAAAATAGCTTTCTTCCATAAGTCCAACTGGACTGAGAAGAAATCAATAGTTACATGACTAAGGCTCTCTTAAATTTCCAGAAAGACTTTTCTTAATATTAATCCTATAGCCACAGCCTCAGGCAAAACAAGTACAGGAGGGGGCTTCCCTGGTGGCACAGTGGTTGAGAATCTGACTGCCAATGCAGGGGACACGGGTTCGAGCCCTGGTCTGGGAGGATCCCACGTGCCGCGGAGCAACTGGGCCCGTGAGCCATAACTACTGAGCCTGCGCGTCTGGAGCCTGTGCTCCGCAACAGGAGAGGCCTCGATAGTGAGAGGCCGGCGCACCGTGATGAAGAGTGGCCCACGCTCGCCGCAACTGGAGAAAGCCCTCGCACAGAAATGAAGACCCAACACAGCCAAAAATAAGTAAATAAATTTAAAAGAAAAACAAAAAACAAATACAGGAGAGGAAAAAGTAAAGATGGCTCGTATATTTTTAAAGTCTTTCAAAAGGTTAAAGAATGAACAGAAAGAAACTCAGTGAAGGTCTGCTCCCTCAGATGGCAGAAGATTCACAAACCCCTTTCATTCCCATCAAGAATGAATGGGTCATCTTCAAAAAATCTACAAACCATACATGCTGGAGAGGGTGTGGAGAAAAGGGAACCCTCATTTACTGTTGATGGGAATGTAAATTGGTAAGACCATTATGGAGAACACTATGGTGGTTCCTTACAAAACTAAAAACAGAGTTACCATATGATCCAGCAATCCCACTCCTGGGCATTTATCCAGACAAAACCATGATTAGAAAAGACACATGCACCCAATGTCCATTGCAGCACTATTTACAATAGCCAGGACATGGAAGTAACCTAAATGTCCATCAACAGACGAATGGATAAAGAAGATGTGGTACATATATACAATGGGATATTACTCAACCAAAAAAAAAAAGAACAAAATAATGCCATTTGCAGCAACATGGATGGATTTAGAGATTGTCATACTGAGTGAAGTAAGTCAGGGAGAGGAAGACAAATACCATATGCTTATATGTAGAATCTAAAAAAATGGTACAAATGAACTTATTTACAAAACAGAAACAGAGTCACAGATGTAAGAAAGAAACTCATGGTTACTGGAGGGAAAGGGGGGCGGGAATAAACTGGGAGATTGGGATTGACATATACACACTACTGTATATAAAACAGATAGCTAATGAGGACCTACTGTATAGCACAGGGAACTCTACTCAGTACTCTGTAATGACCTATATTGGAAAAGAATCTCAAAAAGGGTGGATATGTGGATATGTATAACTGATTCACCTTGCTGTACACCTGAAACTAACACAACATTGTAAATCAACTATACTCCAATAAAAAAAAGATGAATGAAGGCATGTCATATCAATGGCAGTTCTACAATCAGATCTAGCCATAAAGGCACACCTTTATAATACAAAATTCTTACACGTATAGAGCTTACATTCCTGAAGAGGATTCTGTGAACCAAAGTGATTTCTTTGGAGAATCAATGATGTCAGGGAATTCTGACCCATGGGTCCACCCCTCCTCCTGCCTCCACCCTCTACCTGAAATTGCCCCCCTCTCTGCACCCTTTCTGCTTAATTTTTCTCCATAGTACTTACCATCACTTGACACACACTATATTTTATTTTTTAATCTTGTTTCTCTGTCTCCCAATATAAGATCTATAAGCTCAGGAATTTTTGTCTGTTTTGTTCACTGCTGTATCCCCAGTATCTAGAAAAGAATCTGGCACATAGCAGACCCCTGATAAATATTTGCCAAATGGGGAATTCCTGGTGGTCCAGTGGTTGGAACTCCGCGCTTGTAATGCAGGGGGCACGGGTTCTATCTCTGGTCGGGGAACAGAGATCCCGCAAGCTGTGCATGCATGTGGCACGGCCAAAAAAATTTTTTTTTTGTCAAATGGATAAGCACAGCTTTCCCTCAGGACCTTACTGAAAAAACCCAACCAATTAGTTTAATGTTTGACAAAGGGGAGACATTCCTCCAGCTCTCTGGACTAAATTCCCCCGTATCAATACTGCCTTAAGATACCAGTGTTCACCACCGAGTCCCAGTAAGTTAACTCTGATCCCAGGTCATCCTTCAAGAATTCCCCACCTGGTCCCTGAGTTTGGCTAGTTGAGGGTGGCTCACACGGCCAGTTTGGATAGTGAGAGGGGCCATGTTATATGAACCTACTTGGTTCCTGAAGTTTCAGACAAGAATTGGGACATGAAATATTTGGATAGTGAGGCATACCTGTACGTTAACTGTCTCACGTAATGATAAAAATAATGGAGGTTGACAATATGCAAGATGATGTGTTCACACCAAGGAAACATGCAGTGATGGGACAGCATGCTGCTGCATGACCATTTCTTAGTGGGTGAAACAGAGAAAAGTCAGGGGAGAAACTGAACCATCACAGAACAAGGATATCAACTTCCAAAGAAGCAGTGCCTTTAGTCAGGCTTGGATTCACCTAAGTGCAGACTGAGTTTCAGCAAACCACTGTCTGTCATGCCATATTACTGGGTTTTTTATTGCTGTGATATTGTGATTTATAATAAGAAGTACATATTTGGTCTTTGTCCCCAGTTCTGAAACCCTTAGAATTTCCTAAGTGATTAGAGCAAAGAAAGTGAAAGGAGCATTTTTTGTTATTCATAACAAGCCCCTCTCAACCTCACTTGGTTTACATTAAGGAGGTGATTTTTGGAAAGCCCCAGAGGATGGGCACTGGTTGCCAGGGGAACCGACCCTGTGATTTAGAGAGTTGGAACTTTCAGCCCCACCCCTTGACCTCTGGGGAAGGGAGAAGTGGGAGGTTGAAGTAATTGCCAATGGCCAAGGATTTAATCTGTCATGTCTACATAAGCCTCCTTCAAAACCCTAAATGATGCGGTTTGGAGAACTTCCAAGCCTTGCCCTATGCATCTCTTCCTTCTGGCTCTTCCTGAGTTGTAATCTTTTATAATAAACAGGAATCTAGTAAGTAAACTGTTTTCCTGACTTCTGTGAGCCATTCTAGCAAATTATCAAAGCCAAGGAGAGGATTGTGGGAATCTCCGATTTATAGCTTGTTGGTCAGAGTCCATGTGACAACGTGACTGGCGTTTAAGTGGGGGAGGGGCAGTCTTGTGGGACTGAGCCCTTAACTTGTGGGATCTGACGCTTTCTCCAAGCAGATGGTGTTAGAATTGAGTTAAATTGTATGACGATGAGCTGATGTGGAAGAAGTGTTTGGTGTGGGAAAAAGCCCCCCACAGATTTGTAGTACAGAAGTATTCTGTTGAGCAGAGGAGAAATAATTTCTGCATTCAATTGGTTTCACAGTTCTGTTTGTTTATAAGATCATGGTATAGTAATAATAATAATAATAATAATACCTGGCCTTTGTCCCTGGTTCTTGGCACAGAATTTCAAAAACCCCTGGAATTTCCTCAGTGATAGAGTGTCTTTTAGGGACCATATCTGAGTTTATGTTAATGTGCTGAACTTCTGGAAATTCTGGTCCCACCCCTGACCTCTAGGGAGGGGAGAGGGGCTGGAGATTGAGTTAATCACAAATGGCCGATGATTTAATTAACCATGCCTACGTAAAGAACCCAATAAAAACTCTGGACAGTGAGGCTTGGGGAAATTCTGGTTGGTGAACATATCAAAGTATAGGGAGGATGGTGTATCCCGTCTCTGCAAGAACAGAAGCTCCTGCCCTTGCAGCCTTCCAGACTATGTACCTCTTCATCTGGCTGCTCATTTGTGTTTTCTATAATAAAATGGTAAGAGTAAGCACAGCGTTTTCCTGAGTTCCATGAGTCATTCTAGCGAACTATTAAATCTGGGAAACTGAATCTGTAGCCAGGTTGGACAGAAGTGTGCGTAGCCTGGGGACCTAGGACCTGTATGGCAAGTTGTAGGACCTGTAGGACTTGCTGGCATCTGTAGTGAAGGCAGCCTTGTGGGACTCAGCCCCTTAGCCTGTGGGGCATGCGCTAACTCTCTGTGGTATCAGAAATGAATCGAATCTCTGGACACTTGGTTGATGTTGAGAACTGGTGTTAGAACACAGATATGTTCATTTGTTTGGGGTTTACATTTTTGTAGGCATGAAGAATCTATATGCAGTTTTAGGTGTGCCCATATTTAACTGACATTATATAAATTATTTAAGCTAAATTCATGAAATAAAATTGGCCTGTGTATCATTCCTTTAAAAGTAGCCTGTGTATCACTTGATTCTGAGGAATACTAGAGAACAAAATCACACTGCCTGGAGTTACAGCAAACACCAGGCACCTTGATGTGTCAGGCACTGGTTAGTGAAGCTCACTTCAGACACAAATAAGCCATAGCACTTACAGTCACTTCCTTATAAATCTCATCTTATTCTATTTTTACTCTGGTAGATCAGAGCATTAAAGAAACTCTCACTGGGGTTGGGGAATTCAGAAAGGCTTCTTTGCGGGGGAGACTTTCACTTTTGGCAAAACAGTTGTAGACCTAGTGACTTCCCGAGAAAATAATCAGCAGTGGACGTTCCTAAGGCTGAAGGACTGTTCTCCCTGCAAATTCCTCCATTCGAAGGAAGGTTCGGGGAGCATGCTGTTTACTGTTCTGATGCTTTGGTCACAGAAGGGCTTTCGGCATTCAGCAGTGACTATCTCATCCACACTGGCCAGTTTCTCTTTCAACTATGAGCTACAGCCAACCTTCCTGAGAGCCAGGCCACATATATGAACCTTACCACATCCATCATTCTACCCTTTGATACCTCTACAGGCAGTTGCTCCGGCAACCCAGCCTCCTCCAGCACTTGGCTTGAATAATGGCCAGGCTAAGGGCACACAGAACTGAACTTGATCCTGACTACCTGAAATAAAAGCAGTTCCACTTCAGGAGGATTTCTGATGTTAAAAAGGAAGATACCTGATTGTCCCCATGGTATGGCAACATAAAAGTGACTTCACCACATGGTAGAGACTGACTGACAGAAAACATCTCTGTGATGTGCCTTGGTTGGAAGAAATGCCTGTGCTGCTCCACGACTTTCAGATCCTTTTCTTGAAACAGGTTTTCCCTCAGAGTAAAAGCAAAACATGAATTTTCAAAAACTGTCATTACCTGATTCCCATCCAGGTTGAAAGAGGGTACATTTTAAGGGAGATCTCTTTATTTTTCTTGGATGTTTAGGCTCAAAATAAACAGATACACAGTAGTTTGTTTTTGGAATTAACTTGTCGATGACATAAATGAAATTTTCAGTGACGTTTCCATTTATTTGGGGTTTATGCTATAAAAATAAACAAAAAAATCAGTAAGACTTTAAGTGAGCATTTCATTTAGAGGCAAGCCTTAAGAGAGTCTTTGGAGATTTGTCTTCAAATCTTAAACAGGGATAGAAATATCATAGGCTTGGCAAGAAAAAGTATTTTATAAGTTACTTGGGGCAAGCAATTTATCACAAAACTACATGTATGTGTATACACACACATACATGCACACGCACACACACATGTACACATACATTTTTAAACCATGAAATCTAGTCTAGCAACTTCCTTTTACAAATGAGGAGGAAAACGTCCCAATGAGGAATAAAGGTCTCCATGATGTCACGTTTGCAGTAAGATAATCTTGCAAAAATAAGAAAATAAGATTATCCTATTTCATTAATGATATGTGTCTATACTTCAGAAACTGCTTTTATACATATTAACTCATTTGATTATCAAAAGAGTCTGCAAAGCAGGCATTATTCCCATTCTCCAGGTGAGGAAACTGCAGCTCAGAGTGGTTAAGTAACCTCCTCAAGGCCACACAGCTTATCTGTGGCAGAACTGAGGCTGATGTCTAGTTTCCCTGTCTTCTCCTTAAAAACACTTTGCCTCTTCTTCCCCAGCTACTTCTGTTCCATTTTGGAATTAAAGAGATGATCTGAAGGTTCTTTCCTGAAGAATAACTTTTGTATAATGTTTTATAGTTTTCAAAGTACATCCTTACCAGTAGTTTTATAAATGAGGATTTCCACCAGCTCAAATACAGCCTTCTATAATAATATTTTTCTGCAAGCTTATATTTGAAAGGGGGAGGAATTATTTTTTAACACCCCGCCCCCGTAGCAAACTAAAAGCTCATGCCTGGAAAACAAGCAATGAGGAAGAAAAAGGACAGAAACCACAAGTGTCATGGTGAGAGGGCTGTCCTCGAAGAGAAACTGCAAACCGACAGTGGAGAGTCAGAACGTCTGGGTTGCATACCTGGCATAGTCGTTGTGGTCATCGTGTGATCTTAAGTCGGCAACGTTTGCTGCCTGTTTCACCAGAAGCTCCCTCCCACTGTGACTCGTATGCGTAGTCCCTGCTCCTCTCGTGCTCATGAGATTCCGTCCACTCTCATCTCCTCCCCCAGACATTGCTCCCTGCCCTGCACACCCCGAAACATTCCTTCTTCACACGAACATGCTGTCATTTCTTCCATCTTAAAGAGTCCCTCCCTCGACCTCACTTTTTCCTCCAGCTACCACAGCATCTCTCTCCTTCCCTTTATAGAGAAACTACGGAGACCTCTTTCCTGAAGTCAGACCACACTGAAGCCTAGACCCTTCAGTTTTAATTGTTCAAATCATTACAGATTTTTTTTTTTTGGCAATGTATTCATTGCCAACTCAGTACTGTTTTGACCACTTACCTTCTTAACGGTCCCCCCTGACTGTTCTTCAATTAATGCTAAGTAAAACTGTAATTCTTCCTCATTTAGTATCTTGGGAGCGACAGACTGAAATTTCACATTGACACTGATGTGGTCTGTAAAACCAACAATCTCAAACTCTGGTGGGTCCAAAGGCAGTGCTTAGAAAACAAAACAAACCCCAAGGTCAGTCAATAAATAGCATAACCGTAATGATACCATTGTCATGATACAACCATACCTCTTTACAACTGTCTTTTAATTCCCCGTGGCCCTCGTTGAGGTATGGGTTATATATTTTTTTTATTGGTGAAAAACTGAGAACAATAAAAGTGAAGTGATTTGTTTACTATTACCACAAGAAATGGAACACAGATTTGGGGATGAAAGTCAGTATTTCCCCAATGTTCAGGTTGTATTCTAAACACAAGAGTGAAAATGACTTCTTCTCATATAATAATAATAATAATAATACATAAACATTGCAGAAATATCAGAAAATACAGATAGGATTGTCTCTGAATGTGGTTAATCCTCTTTTGTCCATGCTGTACGTGTGTAAATATATCTACACATATAAAAACTGAATGAGCGTACACACACACAAACATATAAACTAAAATTAAGTCATTCTTACACTGTTTTGCATGGTATATATTTTCACTTATTTCATAAACATATTAATGCATGTTTATCTACATCATTACCTGGCAAACTATGGCCCGTGGGTTAGATTTTGCACAGCCTGCAAGTTTGGAATGGTTGTTATTTTTGAAAGGGTTGTGAACAAATGAAGGATATGTGACAGAGACCATACATGGCCCACAAAGCCCAAAGTGTTTCTTCTCTGGCCCTTTATAGAAAGTCACTGACCCTGATTCTTCATCATAATTTTTCACAGCTAATTCTATTCCACTAAGCGGCTGTCCCATGATTTAACTAATTCACTCTTTTGAACATTTAGATTGGCTCTAAGTTTTCTGAATAGAATCTATACATCAATGAGTATTCTTAGAGCTCAATCTTTGCATTTGGCTGTAATCATTTCTTTAGGACAAATCATTAGAGGAATTCTGGATTAGAGCAGGCACATGTTAAGCTTTTCAATACATACTGCCAAATACCTTCAGAAAGGCGGTGTCAAAGCACCCTCCCTGCATTTCCTCTAAATCTGGGTATTTACATACTTTTAATATTTACCATTTTGAGTCTTGAAAAATGATATCTCATTACTATTTTAATATACATTCTTTAATGGTCTGAGTACCATGTTCTATAAGTTGGGCTATTTCTTTTCTCTGTGGACACATACACAAACAGGCAAGTCCACAATTCCAGAGAATCTCATAAGTATCTAAGTTTGCTACAGCAGGATTCAGTTGTCAGCTGAATGCGTGCTTTGCTAAGCACATATATGTGAGGATACACCTACACAGCCTTTCAGAGGGCCCTGAAGTCGAGTCCTTCTCTTGGAAACAGGCTGCAGATCAGGACGCTGAAGAAGTGATGGAGTCTGGCTGAGAGCCGCTGCCAGCTGCTCTGTAGCTGTTAACACAAGGGCCAACGGGAGCTGACTCCAGTTGTAGGGAAAGAAAGAGAGGGCAGACCCGCTCTTGGGATCCAGTCTTCTCTGAGTCTGGGCCCCGCGTGCGCACACACCTGGGCGTTCACACGTGCAAGAGCTACTGGGCTCTGATCTGGGGCAGGGGCTGAAGTATTAGGAAAACATTGGCCCAAGGAGTTGTGACAGCTCTTACAGGCCATCCGAACTCCATTCCCCACTTCCTGTTGGGCTGTGAAACAACGCAAAACGTAGCAGCTTCTATACACCAGAAATGAACACAACACTGTAAATCAACTATACTTCAATAAAAAATAAATTCAAAAGAAAAAGAGCAGCTACTACTGCCTGAATGCCTGCCTCGTACAGGCATGGATGCAAAGGACAGGTTAGCATTCCACTTTTTGGAGAAGAAAACGGAGGCTCAGAGAAGAAAAGTTACCACTCCACGGTTACAGAGTTGGAAGTAGCAGGGCCAGGAGGTGAACCTTAGCCCTGCATCTAAAACACCTTTGTAGAACTTCCAACTTCATGGCAAAGCACATAACGATGATCTTGGTGATGATGATGAAGATAATAAACAAGACTGACTCACTGTCCATTGCCAGGAAGAAAGAGCCCACACAACTGACCAGCGCTGCGTTCCCTCTGAATCCAACCACTTTGGGGATGTACATCTCTGTCATGTTTACCCACACATCTGTTAGGTCACAGAATGATCTTGTGATATTTGTACAGTCCCCAACGATCTTCATATCTTCTTGTTTACTTTGAAAGGCAAAGAAATAGTAAAAGAAAACTTCAGCATTTATGTGACAAGAATCCACTAACTGCAAGCCCCACTTCCACATCCTTGTCTAGCTCTGCTCAAATGTCCCTGTGTTGTCATCTGCCCTCACCACCTTATTTCAAATGGCACACCTTACCCTGTGCCCCCCACCCCTCTCTCTTGATCCCTCTTTCCTGTCTCTATTTTTCTTCATACCATTTGCCACCGCCTGCCCCATTATATCTTTGTTTACTGATATCTCTGCCTACTTTCAGAATGTCTGCTCCAAGAGAGCAGGGATTTTGGTTCATGGTTTGACCCCTGGCATGTAGTAGGTGCTCAGTAAATATTTGCTGTATGAATGAACGAGCAAATGTTGGGCGTTCATGGCAGAGGCCCCAGATCTCCCTGCCCCTACAGGACAATCATGAATGCCCCTCGCTGAGAACCCCTCTCTCTCTGGCTGAGGACCACATGGTCCAGTCCTAAGTCAGCCTGTGCTATATGGGGACAACACAGACATCTGCTCTCTTAAGCTTTAGAAAGGTAGGTGGGTGATACATGTGACTGCCTAACGCAGGGAGAAACTTAACGACTTTAGCAGGTACCAAAGAGAAACCCACAAGAGGCCCTCCAGTGGGTCAGTCAGCAGCAGCAAAGAGCTATAAGCCAAATAAACAGCCAACAAAAGGACACCCCGAAGGGCTACTGGATCAAAGTAATGGCTTAGGAGGGTGATTGTTAGATGTGGTAAGAAGAGAGCCAAAGAGGGCTCCATCCATTAGGTCATGAGTCCCTCAGCAACCCCTAAGTAGGGAAGATTAGCACAGAGAAGGTGCACTCTGCGTTGGTTAGTGACCAAGCCAGACTTTGGACCTGGGCCTGTCTTAGTCTGGGCCAGGCAGCTTTCTGATGTGCCACATGCCTCCCCGAGTAAAGGAAAGTAAACACAACCCATCAATATGGTCACCAGATCTTTGGACTTCTGTCCTCAGAAAATGCGGCACTTTTCAACACCCAGACTTACTGAGTTAGAGAAATAATTGTGAAAGACAGACACAATAATTATTTTGCTTCTGAGGCTTTGACATGTTGAAATTAGCTTTGGTTCTAAATGCAAGCTTTGTCAAAAATAACTCTGGGTTGTTAAAGTATTCAGTGTAATTAAAAATGGATGGGTCTTTTGTCTTTAGACTTTTAAAGCTCTGATTAAAAAACCGAAATTGAGAAGGGGCGAAAGAGGGGGAGAGAGAGAAAAGCTCTATCACAAGTAAGATCACCTCTTCCCCACTCCCCACATTATAAAAGGTAATATATTTAGCAAGAGAAAAATGAAATGTCAAACCAACCTCATGATGGTGTACCATAATGTATAGTGAGTTGGTACAATTGAATGGTTTTTTAATTCCCATGATAAGATTGACTGCAAATTTCGTAATGTCATCTTTAAAGTGCAAGATTCATCTGAAAAATCTAAAGGGAACAAGAGGAGAAAAAAAAAAAGAAACAGAGATTGAAATTTGGAGCCCAGCGTTGTACCTCGGCCACTGTTCAAACTGTCCCTTGAGATCTGGAGCCCGACACTTCTAGCAGAGAAGCCCTCCCAAGAGCCCTGGGATCTTGGAAACACAGAAGGAACTGGTTTGGCTGGACACAAGAAATGAGCTAATACGATTAATAGATAAGCAACACATTGTCAGGGTGGACAAGCTGAGGAAACAGGAACTCAGCACTTGTAAACAGAATTTGGGCTCACCCAATTATCACTGACTCAGCGGCTGTTTGGATCAAAACAGTCTATGTCATCCTGGGCCACCCCATCCTCTCAAGTCAACCCTTAACCCCTCCTCCAGTCCCCCTAAGTAGCTTGGCCCATGGCAAGCTTTCCCTCCTCTGAATTCCCCATCACAGAGAGGAGAGGGAGAATGTGTGTCCAGATTGAATCTTCCATTTCATCCCCAAGCCTATGCTGAAGTATTGATAGGTGCTATTAACAAACCCATTTTACAGACTGTGAAATTGAGAAGTTGAGTTATGTAATGTTAGGTAGCTGGGAAGTGGCAGCAGCAAAGGAAACTTCACAGCTACATTTGTCAAACCATGCCTTATATGGTTAAAGTTTCAAAAAGCATCTAAGTTTCCTGTGGTTAGGACCTGGGCCTTGGCTTTTTGGTTTCTAAATCTTCATCCCCCAGGGCTCATCACAAGGCTGGATACATATTCAATGCATAGTGATGTTCTGTGGACAGGTTTATATGTAGGTAAGAAATTTAGTTTAAAAAAATGTGTTTTCCCTTATCTGGTACCAGGTACCGGGTACCAGGTGGAAGAATGCAAATTAATGGGAAATTATTTCTGGATGATGTTTTGTTTGGTACAGTCTGTGTCTCCTCATTCTTCTATTAGTAAGAATATTAAGAGGTGAATATTCTTTTAAGGGGTTTAAAGATTAACTCTAGTGTTAATTTCTTATAATAGTTTTATGAGACAAATGTGAAAACCAGTATTGGCTAAATTCTCCTTTAACAGGGAAAGTTTGTTTTTTTTTTTTTTTTGTGGTACGCGGGCCTCTCACTACCGTGGCCTCTCCCGCTGCGGAGCACAGGCTCCGGACGCGCAGGCTCTGTGGCCATGGCCCACAGGCCCAGCCGCTCCGCGGCATGTGGGATCTTTCCGGACTGGGGCACGAACCTGCGTCCTCTGCATCGGTAGGCGGACTCTCAACCACTGCGCCACCAGGGAAGCCCAGGGGGAAAGTATTTGAGGAAAAAGATTCGAACAAAATGGCAACAGATCTGGGATCAGGAATCATATTTCCCACACTTTTGACTTCTAAATGGTCACTCCAACACTCTGACCCTTACACAAAATTTTGTCAAGCCAAGAAAAATCTCTTACCAGGCAAAACATACGAAATACCAAACACGAGGCTGATGTGCACTGGGAAGAAGAAAAACATGTTAGACAAGCAACAACACTTTCACCAGGTTCAATTTACGATTGCTACTCTGAGTCTGGGATTCTTCCTCACAGATGTATTTATATTGGATTGAGACTTTTCTTGCGCTAAAGAAAAAAGCTCAAGTAAATGGTTCTTTTTTTTTTTTTGCGGTACGCGGGCCTCTCTCACTGTTGTGGCTTCTCCCGTTGCGGAGCACAGGCTCCAGACGCGCAGGCTCAGCGGCCATGGCTCACGGGCCCAGCCGCTCCGCGGCACGTGGGATCTTCCCGGACCGGGGCACGAACCCGTGTCCCCTACATCGGCAGGCGGACTCTCAACCACTGCACCACCAGGGAAGCCCAAGTAAACGGTTCTTAGAGAGCTGACTTTGGTATCAGCAGCTCGTTGTCTAAGGATGTTTCGTCCTGATCGGATCCAAAATAAGATGTTTGGGAGCTGATCCTAGTCGTGAGGGTTGGCTGGTTGAGGGACTGTCCTGAGAGGCAGTCATCTGTCTGGAACAATTCTCAGAATATGAATAAGCATGTTGCTAATTAAAAAACTTCCAAGGTAAAGATATTTACCAGGGTTGGTGGAAGAAGAAAGGTCTTGGTGATGGGAAGTAGGGATTCTCATTTGTTTCCTGGATGTCACCACGACTTGGCGAGTCGGGGGGCGGGTTAGGGGCATTTTTAGTAGGTGGGGGAACAAGGCTGTCATATACTCTCCAATGCATGGCACTTGTCTGGGGAGAAGTGACCAACTCATAAATACTGATAAACTATGGAACAGATGACACAGTGATACTGAAATAGAATCAAAAGAATGGTAAAGAAAAGGCACACATGAATAGGGCTATGGAAAAAGAAATCAATAATAAATGAAGTGTGGAAATCAAAGTTCAGGGATGACTTTTTGGTTTTGTGTTGAGGAGGGAGATAAGGCGTCTGGCCTCTTTCCAAAGTAGGAATAGAGTGATAAACTCCACCCTGGATTAGAATGAGGGTATTAAGGGAAATTACTCTTCAAATTACAGTGAGGTTAACACTGTTCATTATTGAGCCTTAAGTTAATTATTATTTGTTTGTTTTCCTAAAACAACAGTAGGGCAGAAACCCATTGTGAATCAAACCATTAACGTTTGTTTCCTATCTACGTTCCAATTGGCTCTTTTTTTTTTTTAACATCTTTATTGGAGTATAATTGCTTTACAATGGTGTGTTAGTTTCTGCTTTATAACAAAGTGAATCAGTTATACATATACATATGTCCCCATAGCTCTTCCCTCTTGCGTCTCCCTCCCTCCCACCCTCCCTATCCCACCCCTCCAGGCGGTCACAAAGCACCGAGCTGATATCCCTGTGCTATGCGGATGGGCAGCTGACACTGGATCCTCAAGGCAGGGAAATCAATTGGCTACTACTCCCTAACAGGGTCCCTGGCAATGGAGCTATGAGAAAAGTAACACTTACCCATGGGATACATACCCATGGGATACAAATTAAGTGGTCCAACCGCTGAGACATTCTGGCTCAAAACCATCTTTGTTATTTTATATGTCCTTTCTTTACTTTCACATCTGAAAAGTAATCAATATTAGGTGATCAAAATTCTGAAGTGTCTAATTAAACTGCAAAGATAACGGGCAAAGACAAGACAATGAAAGATCAGCAGGAGATTCCTGATTCCAGGCCCTTCTGGGAGCTGGACCATTTACCTCATTACACGAGCAGCTTTACCTCAGCTTCTGGGACCAATTCCCTACCTAGGCAGGTAGAAATTTTAAATTTAACTTTTGAACAGATAACACAGTCATTTGGTTCCAAAACTTTAAACATACAAAAAAGTAAATAGTGAAAAGTCTTGCTTCCTTCAGAAAACTATTTTTATTTGTTTTTTTGGTGAGTTCTTCAGAATATCTTCATGCATAAGCAAAAACAAACATGTACTCTTATGCCCCCCCAGCCCTTTTTTTTTTTACACAGAGATAGCATATACATTCCCTGTCCAATTCCTGCTTTTTCTACTTAAAAATATATTTGGGAGATCTTTCTACACCAGCACCAAAGAGAATTTCCTTGTGTTTTTAAATAGTTGCATAGTCTACTCTATGGACATACCATGATTTATATAATCAGTCCCCACGACGAACATCTGAGTGGCTCCCAACTGTTTCTGCAATGGATAATCTTGGAAATGCCTTATTCTGCACATGTCAAGTCTAAGTGTGAGAAAGATTCCAGAAGTAGGATTGCTAGGCCAGAGGGTGTATCAGTCAGGGTCCCAGCAGGAAACAGCACATTCAAGTTAGGATAACTTGAGGAAGATTTTAATCAAGGGACTATTTACAAATGTGTGAGCCAGATGCAGGCCAACCATAAGGAAGAGTGTAGTATCTGAAACTAACAACAGCAGGGGTTCTTATCACCCTGGGCTTGAGGCGCAGGGGGAAGATATCAACACTGGAATTTGGAAGGAGAGAATCCTGTGTGAGGAGCTAGGATGTAAGCCGATCCTAGGTGACTGTGCAGCGAGGGGGCTGAGGGATAAACATTCCTCACTGTCTCCTCTTACCTGGGGCTCCCCATTGGCTGAACCCAATCAGAAGTCACAGGACAAGGCTGCGGGCAGCTGTACCCGTACAAGACAGGATCCCAGGGCACAGTAAAGGGTGGGCAAGGTGGAGGCTGGGTTTGCAGGGGCAGACAGAAGAGACCTGGCACAAAGGGGCCGTTTGTAATTTTTCCTGCTTTTTTTTGGCCGCACAGCGTGTGGCTTGTGGGATCTTAGTTCCCCGACCAGGAATCGAACCCGTGCCCTCTGCAATGAAAGCGCAGAGTCCTAACCACTGGACCACCAGGGAAGTCCCTGCATTTGTAATTTTGATCAAAACGGTCACACTCTCGCCGCTTGTGGCTGTACCAATGTACACAACTGCCTGCGACGTGTGAGAATTTCTGCTTCCCCACAAAGGAAGTGCTTGTGGGGATGGATAATGATTATGATCACGATAACCATCAAGCTCTTGGATTTCTAAAAATAAATTCATAAACGCACAGTTGTCTTCAGACTAATATTCATTTTGTATTTCTCTTCTTCTGGGTAAGATTGAGCATGTTTTCATATATGGAAGAGCTATTTCCTTTCTTGTTAACTGTCTGTATCTTTGTCCATTTTTCTATTGAGCTGTTGCTTTCTTTTCTTACTGGTTCGAAGGAGCTTTTAAAGTATGAGGGAAACTGGCCCTTTGTGATATGAATCACGTCTTTTTAAATTTTTCTCTGCCGTTGTCACTTTTCTCTGTCACTTGTCCTTTGATTTGCCTGTGCTATCTGTGTTTTTTTAATTATTTTTTTATTTTTTATTTTTATCTGTGTTTTTTAAACCATGCAGAAACTTCTGGGTTCTATGCTTTCAGATTTAAAGGTATTTTCTTCCTTAGCACCTATATTTTGAGTTACAGCTAGAAAGTCTTCCTCCCTCCAAGGTGAGAAAGGAATTCTTCAAACATTTTAAGGAACCCCCAATCGGTCTCATTCCTTCTCTCCCTCGGAGCTTTTGTCTCCCTCCATCCAAACAACTGGGTATTCTTCAGTCCCCCCAAACACTGAGGCAGCATCAAGCCCCGAGTCAAAATGAAAATGGGAGCATGCCTTGAAGTAGCAAACTCAAGAAGCAAACCAGACTCAGGAAGATAGCCAGGAGGAAGAGAGGGTCCCCCCAGGCACACAGCCAGCTCAAGAAGCACTCTCTCATGCACAGGGATACTCAGGGCCAGTGCCACTCCCCACAGGTGCACACATGCACTTGCACCTGAAGGATGCTGGGAACCCTCTCCTGTTGCCACCCAGCACACCAGCCTGGGATGGGCTTGGGAAAATCAAACCCTGAGTCTCCCCTTTCCAAGGATCTGCTATCCCAATCCACGGCGTGCTGGTGACGCTGAAGTGTCTTTAAACCTCTGCTCCTGGCCACGCTATGTACCTGAATCAAGGCTGACCTAGAAACTTCACCCGCGATGGACCAGCTAGCCAAGCCCTGGGTGAGGCGGGCCAGGGGCAGCTTCCAAGTCTGCCTGGCCTACCCTCCCTGTACACATGCCAGGTGGGCATCAGTGCAACATGGGAGTCTCCCACTGGATGCAACCCAGCTGCTGCCCCCATGAAGAGTGTCAACAGTCAAGGGGTGTAGAGAGAGAGGCCAGGCAGGGTCCCCATCCTGCAGAGAAGGGGCGAGTAAGACCCAAATGTGAACTGAGACTCCAAGCTTGCCGTGTGTTCCATTGTCCCGCCAGATTTCACTAACAAAACACAAGTTCAAAGATAAAATGATTAAGAATTTCAAGACAACCACAGGAGAGCAATCAACCAAGTGTGGGACTCTTCTACATGCAGGGTCCCTGGGGACTGAAGCTGGCCCTGGCCACAGTGATGAGAGTAACGAGAGCTTCAGGAAGCCTGATCTGTTTGGAGTCCGGGAGGGTTTTAAAGAGCTTCATGAACAAATCCAGGCAGGATGCCAAGATGGGAAATTAGATTTTCCAAGCAAGCAAGAATCTAGTACCAGAAGCCTAACTGGAAGTGGAGTATGAGTCACCAGGAACAAAGAGAGGGAAGAGGCGTCCCCTGGCCCAGCGCAGGAGAGCGGGACTTCTAATTGTGTAGCGCTGTGTGTGTACATCTCAGCTGCTGAAGACAGGGAAGGTTTTGCAGATGCAGAACAAAGGCAAAGATGTGATACCATCAGAACAAAACAGAGGGACCAGAGGCCACAAGACAGATGACCAGATAACAAGGGAGTCACACGCAAAGTGGCATTCTACAACCCTGGTGCGCCCAGCACCTAGGGAACGTCCACAACCGTGCAGGCCCTCTGCTGAGGGGTAATGATGGGAGATGACATCACATCTCACAAAGATATCTCTGTGGATGTTCTGAATGGATACGATATTATGGGATAAGTTGAGGTGCCTGGATAGCTCATGGGTGGTAGGTGGCAATTGTGACTTGGAATCTTTTGGATTTCTCTAGAAAACGCTGGGTGAGACCTGATAGCGTGATAGTCAGGAGGACTTTTTAATGTGTTTCTAGCTTGAATTCAAGTCTGCCGTTTTGTGTGCTATGAAATGCCAGTTGTAACTCGGTGATTCTTCACTTGGATTAAATGCTCACGTTCGCACTTAGATCTGGCTTTTGCACAATATAAAGGAGAATGGTGAAATCCATGCTAGTAATTAAATTTATGTTTTTTTACTTAGAATGATCTTCAATAGAAAAAAAAAAAAGGGCAAGTTGAGAGACATCATTGAAGAAAAGAAAAAGCTTTATATTTCAGTACCTTTGGTGGTACTTTTTCCTCCTGTTTAATCCAATGGGGCCCTGCATTTTAATTTTGCTCTGGGCCTTGCAAATTCTGCCACCAGCCCAGCCTGTAGTTCACTGCTGCCTGACAAGAAACCAAAGCCTTAGGTTGAATTCAAGGCTGCCGCCAGCCTTTCCAGTGTTCCCACTGCTGTCCCACACAAGTGCGGAGCTCTGGACGACACATCACATCCTGCTCCGACGCTCCCCTCACCACCCACCCTGCCCCCTCCCCGACTCCCCACCCAGCAATCCTTGCCATTGCTACCGAACAAAAAAACTATCCATTTTTAAGGCCCAGCTCAAAGAGATGCAACCTGGGCAAAATGATCCTTCTCTGAATTTCAACTCCTCCTAAACAGACAGACAGGCAGACAGACAACCCTCACAGAACTTGCTGCCCCCTATTCTCCTGGTAGAGAGGAGAATGCTGTCTTTTCTCCTACCCAGCACAGCCTGACACCTTGCGCATCTTTGCTAATCAATGAATGAATGGATTCAGAAAGACTCTACAAATAAAACTACATGCTTTTTCTCCTGGAAATTAAAAAAAAAAAATACAAAAAAAAAGCACAAAGAAGAAAGTAACAATCATCTTTATTTTTTACCACCAAGCACCAACCATTGTTTACATCTTGGCATATTTGTTTCTAGTTTATGTCTTGTTTTGGTAAAAATACTTCTACACGCTCATTAAAAAAATTAAAAATAATGTATAAAAGTAAAATCCCAGCATCCTGATATTTCCATCATTAACATTAGGTGAACAGAATCCCAGAGATCTTTCTGTGCATAGACACACACAACACACACTCACACAGATGTTTCTGTCTAAATTTAATTTTCCTTGGAAAAAAACTGAAGCAAAGGCTGAAGAAATTGTTGACATTTGAATTATTTCCGTAAGAAAGAATAGCTCCCTAAAATATCCCTTTAAAGTTAAAGAAAATTACAAAAGACATTAGGAAGTTGGAATATGATCTGTTCACGGCATTCTAACTGTTCCACCCTGTTTACTGATCCATGCTTTCAAACAAGAGAACTAGGACTTCCTTGGTGGTGCAGTGGTTGGGAATCAAGTCATTTCCTGCGACAAACAGGTCAAACCTTATCACTGATGCGCACATTACTAGGAAACATTTTCTTTAGAGCAAATTTTGCTATGGCCTCGCTTCCACCCCTTTCGTCTCTAAGCCAGAACTGGAGGGGGGAGGATTCTTGGAAACCTGTCCAAGATGCGGGACAAGTGACGGAAGGCCTGTTGGTCTCAGCCGCCGGAGTCAGTTAGTGTGACACCGGGGGGGGGGGGGACTCCAGCCCTCTCGCTGGCTGCACCTGCCTCTGCACCTCCCACCTCGTTCCGCTCAGTTTCTAAGACTTCTTGCCAAACAAAAGCAAGGAAATCGAACAAACATTAAAAGAGAGAGACAGACAGACAGACAGACGGGACATCTAGAGTTTCTCAAAGCCATCGCTAGCCACACAAGTGGGTTGATGGATCCAATTAACTGGGTTTAACTGGTTTCTTTGGTCAGGGTTGAAACGCGAGCGTCGACTCGCACCCGGTTCCTCATTCTTTCCCGACCCTGGAGGGGGACCCACTCCTGTCCCCGCGACGCTGTCCCATCGCCCCGTCCTCCCTCCAGCTTCCAAGCGATGGGTCTGAAAGGACATAGGACACTCCAGCTCCGGTGGCCCCTCCGTGACCCTCTCTCGCCCGGGAACAAGGGACTGGCTAAAGTCAGTTTGCTCTCTTGGAGGGCGGGCGGAAAACCCCGGACCGGAGACCCGAGCCGGTAACCCAGTTTTGCAAGGCGCTGTGGATCGAGAGGCGTTTTACTTTTGAACTTGACAGTGGCTCTCATCTCGCAGCGGCCCGCACCCTCGGTGTGGGAGGTGGTGGAGCCGCAGGGCTGGGCGCGTGAAGACGGCTCCCAGGAGGGGCGAGGAGCGCGGGGCGGCCGGCCAGGGCCGAAGGCAGCGCGGCCGCGGGGGCCAGTCAGTGGACCCACTCCAACGACCCGCCGGGTCGCGGGGGGCGTGGGCAGGGGGCGGCCCCCGGGAGAAGGGCGGCGGCAAAACCCCCCCGGCCCGGAGCGTCGGCGGGAGCCCGTGGAGTCCGGGTCGTGGGAGAGACAGGAATCTGGAGAGGGATTCCGGGAAGCGGCTGCGGGGAGGCGGCGTTCGCCCGGTCCCCGCCACCCCAGTAGCCCCACGTTACCTCGGCTGTTTGGCCTCGCCGTTGTCCTCAGGGTGCCAGCCTCGGGCGCACCCTCCGCAGCCGGGCTCCGCCGCCACCCCTCCGCACCCCTGGTCGGCGGCCCCTTCGGCAGTGACGGCTGTCGTAGGGCAAAGGCGAGAGAAGTGGCGGGGTGGTGGCCCTCAACCTCCGCTCCGAGGATGCCCCGGATAGGTCCTCGGGGTCTCCTCCCCGAGAGGTGGAGCAAGTCTTTAGGGCGGGTGCGCGCTCCGAGCGCCGGCCCCCAGCGGAGAGCTCGGGCCCAGGCGGGGCGGGGACACCAGGTCTTGGTAATTTACCCAGATTTATTAAGACGGCGCCTTCCGCCGCCACCCCTCTTCCATGTAAGCTCCACTGGGGAAGAGAGAAAGGATTTTGGCTGTTGTGTTTACAGCAGGGCTGGAACAGTGCCTGTCACTTAGAACAATACCTAGCACATTTAATCTACTCAATAAAAATGTGTTGAATGAATGGAACGAAAGACCGAACGGGCTCTCTCCTGCACCACCCCCTCTTTACTAGTTCCACAAATTGCTCAGATCATAATTCTCCAATCAATAAAACAGGGATAAAAATAGCTATCATTGAGTCGTAAAGGCTTGGTATAGTTCCAGGCTCAAGCAGAACTTTGTAAACATGGTAAATATTGGCTCCCTTCCCCTTCTCTGTGGGTCTTTCCTCTGTGCTCCTGGTTGCCCAGTCCTCCACCGATCAACGTCTTTGGGGGTAGGTAGAGAGGAAAGACAGTCCCTCATTATTTTGTTTACCTATCATTTATATCCCATCAATTTCCAAAATAGAACATGAGGTAGCTTTCAGTAAAATGTATGTAAATTAAAAAAAAATTATTTCTATTTATGTTTTGGCCGTGCCTAGGGGCATGCCAGATGCAGGATGCTAGTTCCCCAACCATAGTTGGAACCGTGCCCCCAGAAATGGAAGGGCGGATTCCTAACCACTGGACCACCAGGGAAGTCCCAAATGTATGTATATTTTAAACATTAAAGCTACTGAAATGTACATGTTAAAATCCTTTTGAAGGAGGAGAAGAAAAAGAAAAAACAACTAACCATCTAAGTAATTCTAATTGGGAATTCAGTTTCACTTTCAGTTTTCTGACAAGGGAGGAGTAGGATGTTTCACACATTTTGTAGATGTTAAAAAAGAACATTTTCATCCATCAAATTAACTAACATTGGCTGTTGCCCCTCTGTACGAAAGGCACAGAGACGATCATAAGAGGCTGTCAGACTGCTTCACATGTTACCCTTACTCTTCAAGAGGAGCAGAGTTCCCACCAGCCCCATAAAACCTTACGGGAACTCATCATGGGGCCTTGGTCCTCACAAAAGACATTCAACATTGAAAATATTTTCAGCAGCAGTTTAAGAGAAGATGCAGAAATAGTCTCTGAAAGTGGAGGAAAGCCAATTCAAAATTGCATGTACCTTTTTATAAAGACATATGCATATATTACAACTAAAAATATATCAAAATGTTAACTATGACTAATTGAAGATTGGGTGATTATATATGATTATTTTTTTCTTTTTACTTTCTAAATTTTCTAGGTAAAGATTTTTACTTATACAATCAGGGAAAAGATTTGTTTAAAAACAAATGCTGGACTTCCCTGGTGGCACAGAGGTTAAGAATCCACCTGCCAATGCAGGGGACATGGGTTCGAGCCCTGGTCCGGGAAGATCCCACATGCCGTGGAGCAACTAAGCCCGTGTGCCACAACTACTGAGCCTGCGCTCTAGAGCCTGTGTGCCACAACTACTGAGTCCGCATGCCACAACTACTGAAGCCTGCGCGCCTAGAGCCCATGCTCCGCAGCAAGAGAAACCACCGCAATGAGAAGCCTGCGTACCTCAACAAAGAGTAGCCCCCGCTCTCTGCAACTAGAGAAAGCCCACGTGCAGCAACAAAGACCCATCACAGCCCAAAATTAAACAACAAAAAACAAATGCTGTCCACCCCAAGATGTAAAGAGTTTAGTATTTGTCACTCCACTCTTCACAAGAGAAAAGCTGAACCAATGGTAAAATCAGCTCTTCTTAGATCCATTAGTGAATGGAGGTCACAGGGCAAACTGCAGCCCCCAAAACTGGAGAGACGGGCAAATGCAGACAATCAGTAGACAAGGAGCAGAAGCCTCAGAAAACAGGAAAACAAACCGTGCTTGACTCACTGCTGGAGGCTGAGCATGGACTAGCTTGAGAGTTAAAAACTCCTGGGGCGGGGGGGGGGGCGCGGGGGGCTTCCCTGATGGCGCAGTAGTTGAGAGTCCGCCTGCCGATGCAGGACACATGGGCTCGTGCCCCGGTCCGGGGAGATGCCGCTGAGCGGCTAGGCCCGTGAGCCATGGCCGCTGAGCCTGCCGCGTCCGGAGCCTGTGCTCCGCAACAAACTCCTGGGGAAAAATCAGCCCGGATGTAGAGCTGGAGGTGCCTGAAGGCGTGTCTGACGCGGAGCTGGGCGGGGTAGAGAGTAGGGCTCAGTAGTCGGGATGGTGGGAGAAGGAGGAGGGGGCGGCAATCACTTAAAATTGGTGCCGAAGCAGGACCAGAAGCCTAAATTCCAGGAGGGTGAGAGAGTGCTGCGCTTCCGTGGACCTCTTCTTTATGAAGCAAAGTGTGTAAAGGTGGCCATAAAGGATAAACAGGTGAAATACTTTATACATTACAGTGGTTGGAATAAAAATCGAGATGAATGGGTTCCAGAAAGCGGAGTACTCAAATACGTGGGCACCAATTTGCAGAAACAACAAGAACTTCAAAAAGCCAGCCAGGAGCAGTATGCAGAGGGGAAGATGAGAGGGGCTGCCCCTGGAAAGGAGACCTCTGGTCTGCAACAGAAAAGTGTTGACGTGAAAACAAAAAAGAACCAAC